TCAAATACCGGCCATCTCCCACTTTAATGTTACGATGCTATGTATACCCGCGAGGAGGAAACTAAGTCATAATCTACAAAGCTCGGGTCTTCGTCTGTGGGGACCGTTGCTCTAATGGGGCTTCATATCTCGAAGGAGGACAGGCAGCTTGGAGGTGGGACGAACGAGTGAAGAGGCCACGAATAGCCATGCTAGGTTGCATATTTTTCGAATATTTTCGACTTAAGGGTGTCTGTGGGCGCCGAGGCAACGATGGAAGGTATTTAGTTCCGCCTCTTGGTCGTCATCTCCCCGAATTAAAGTCTGGGTAGCCTGGACACCTACCTCACTCGAGAAATGGTAGACCGTGAGGCCATATCTCGCGTGGCAGCTATATACAAGATTGCAAAGGCATTTGGGGGTAGCCAATAGTTTTGCCTGTTTTCCCTTTGGTGGATATTAAGGGATGAGGGAGGGGTGAGAGTACCTAGCACAGAGGTCTCGAGTGGTATCAACGAATGCATCCACTACATAAGTTGTTCAAATGTCAAAATCAGTTATCGTCGTACATAGTCATCGTGGCATGACCTAAAAGTGCAAGACTTGTGCGGGTGGGGAATAAATTTTAATTTGTTAGAATTTAGATTAATTGGGGCTATCAACTAGGCCACGTTGTTGGTATGCACGTGACTATAAATTATGTGCACAGTTTTATTTCGGTAGTTACATGAATTAATGCGCTCTACAGCCTCATTGACTGAGGGGTCATTATTTCCTTCATATAATTCAATATTTCATTCGCAACAATTTTAGACAAATAACTTTGACTATATAGTGTTACCTTTTTGAGTGTAAATAAGGCCTGCTGGCCCAATGGCAAGGCGTTTGACTTCGAATCAAAAGATTACAGGTTCGACCCCTGTGCAGGTCATCATGAGATGCACATCTCTACGGAAGTGATACAACTCTTTTGTGACAGGTGACACGTTTCATTTCCTACTGATAAAGACCAGACCTACGAATTCTCGCAACTGAGGTTCATACTGTGTTTATTGCCTTATTGGGCCTGCAGCTATGTAAGAAATTGGCGTTCACTTTTGCTCACAGACCGGGATTTGGTACTATGTAGAGCTGGTCTCATCTTTTTTTATTTCATATTGACTCTATGAAAACTTGATGGTGCAAAGGTGCTTTGTCCGAAAGTTAAGTCCTACCACTCGTCCACGGTGTCGACTACCAAGCTGGGGGTGAGTTATTCATCCGGAGCTAGGTTCAGTAAATTTTCGTGACACCAAAGTATATGGCGCACGAGGAAATGATTAGATACTCTCCACAAAATCAAATTCCCATTCCTAAAGAATGTTCCAACCAATGCCTCACCAAGGATAAAGGTCCGAACTAGTACAACCTCATTTCTATGATCACGTTTCTGCCCTTGGATAGCATCCAAACATAGGCCCACCGTAGTACTATTACCCAGCGAAGTAAATAAATCATGGGGTACAAGACAAGGATTCAAGTCCACGGAGTGGATATGAGATGTATAAGGATGGTTGGAAAGAGGTTTTTACATTGAACTTTGTGCTCCACACGACTTTATTTGTGGAGGTGCAGGCGGCTCTACAAACACCGCCATGTTTAGATTGTGCAGTGGTACATCGTCTGGCCTGGACTCCCGAGTAGATTGTGGATAGCTTGGAGACCCATTCCATCTAAGACGGGAGATGGCTAGTTCGAATCCAGCAATGCGGAAGACATTTTTCGCGGTGGTGGGGTGCATGATACGAAAGCCTATTAAACTTATCAAAGGCTTTGAAACTTCTCTTTGGTGGCTACTGATGGAGGAAGGTCGAGTGTGGTTGTAAGCCAGCACAGCTCAGAGGTATTCGCAAATGGGATTCACTTTGTAAGTGTCTCACAAGTCAAAGGCTCAACCTACATGTGCCGTGGCTCTATGGCAGCACACACATTAGATGATTAACAGGAAAAGAGGTCTGCGACGGCGATGCGCAAGGCCCGCTGGTGGAGGCTTCTACCTAGCCTGGCCTGAAGGGAGGCACCAAGCGCTGCCCCTACCACAAAGTAGAGTGGCAGACCTGCAGAGCGATGGATGATGCACCGCTGGCCGATTTCCCTAATAGGCAATGGGACGGCCAAGCATCCCAGCAGAGCCGCCGACACTGAAGGATTTCTAGGCGCGAATTGGCTGCTCACGCGTGGTCAGGCCTGAGGCGACGATCGGCATCGGAGTCTTGTCGGAATGGGCGAGCCCCGCCGATATAGTGCATCTGACACAGTAGACAAAAACCATCAATGAGCGGCGCCGTGGTCTGCCTCCGAGTGGTGATCTCCGCTAGGGTTTGGGTAGTCCACGCACCTACCCCACTTGCGGAGGAGATGCTTCAGACGAGAGGTTGCGCGGAAATAAGTCAATGGATGGTGGAGGCACGTCTGGAGAACTCGGGGGGGGGGGGGAGGTTGAGGATATTGCGCGCGTGAGTATTCGCAGACTCGGGGTGAGGGAGAAGCCACCGTTACGTCGCAGTGGAGGCTACAAATGAGGCCGCCACACGAGACCTCTACTATAACCCGAGTCATCATTCCCGCACTCTACCTCTCACGTCATGTCATGGCGAGATGGCTGCTCACACCATTAAGATCTGATCGAAACCCCCCCCCCCCGGAGCCGCGGCGGCCCATCGTTGGAGCCAAGGCCCGATGGCTGCGTGCTGGGAGGATCACAGTCTGGCGGTCAAGGTGAGAGACGACGAGCAGGACGACGCCAAGACACAAGGAACGGCCGCGCTGGCGTCGAGGGCGAGATGCCGTTTGCCCTCCCCTACGCCATAGGATCGAGCCAATTCTCAAGCTCCCCACCCTTCCTTCCCCTTGCCGCCCTCGCCCTGACTCGACCAGCTGTGGCGGGCCCGTGCTCGCGCAGCTCGACCATCATCTTAGCCTATTCGAGTTCAAGACCTACAGTCGGAATCCATTCGACTGGCCACCGTGCCACACCACTGCACCATCCGGCCACGCCACGCCGCACTCCATGAAATGGCCTGCACAGCCCAGTTTCGCCTAGACGTTCAGCAGACTGTGCTTGAATCGCTGGCCGTAGTCCCGACACGCCAGCGAATCAGTTGATGCGATGAGTAATCGTCCGTCGTCGGATGGTGGCCCGAAAGTTGGTGACGCAAGATCTTGGCCGTTGCATGGCCGCATGGAATTGTCGTCTCGAGAACCTCTCACCTCCTTGTCACTAGTAGCCTCAAGGATCCCTCACGTCTACACGGCATTACCTCCCCGACTCCGTGCCCACCATTCCATCTCACATTCCCCGGACGACGACTTGTACTTCTGTGCTGCAATAGCAGCATCTGACTATCATTTCAACTTGCTCTTGCACTGACCGAGTGCTTGTGCTGCCATGGTCATCCTCCCACCTGACAACATCCTCTCGGATATTTTGCTCCACATTAGTCAGCCGACGACGGCGGTTTGTTTGTTTTCTATTTAACGTCTAACTAAAATCGGGCCTAGGTCAATCTTATCTAAAATCCAAATGGAAAAAGAACGCCAAAGCTTACTGCCTCAGTTGTCGGAGGCTCACGACTCCCTAATCTAGGGACATGAGACCTGATCTGCAAAATAAGAGAGTATCTGATGACCAAGATACAATTATGGTAAATGATATATAAGGGAAAACTAATAAAAAGCAAAAATAAACCCCTTTGGTGTAAGTGCAATAACCACGGATGTGAGGGCAAGTTGGTACGTAATGAGATGGTACAAAGCAAGTTGAAAGATTGCCACGTTGATTTCTATCTTATCAAAGTTCCATCTGCTCATCTGACGCGCCGGCTGATGTCTTCAAGATCTCAAAAGGGTTTAAGAGAATGGTCCGCTTGGATGCGGCTGCAGATCGTGTTGATGGTCCTGCTACTTGGGAAACTGCAGGATAGCTAGTGCGCCGGGCTGTGTGAGAGGTGCTGGAGCTCTGCGGGGCGGCAGAATGCTTAACGCATCCAGCTTCTACTTGGCGGCGGATGCGCGCCGCAGAGAAGATATCCCGGATGGCGACAACCTGTGATTTTGTCTTTGGAGGATTAGAGGATTGTGGCCGTAGCTCACAAGTTGGATCGTCTGCTGGATGAGGGCCGTGACAGTGCGCACATCGCGGAGCGCAAGTATGTCCAGCCGGTGCGGCGCAGAGGTTATTGTGGTCCTTCTCTGTGTGTTGGATGGACCCACAAAGGCGGCATCTTGGGGCAGAGGAACAAGCGCGACTGTTGTGCCAAAGCCAGCACGTCCTTCACTGTACTACCGACGAGCGTTTAGGAAGGATTCGGGTGACGGTGCGGCACCCGACGACCGCGGTAAGTCACATATCAAGTCCGCAGTAACCAATTTCTATTTCAACCTCACATGACACATCACTTTCGGAAGGATTTTATATTTCGCTCTCCATACCACCTTTACACAATTAATCCAGTTCTGAAGATTGAGACGCATGGCATCCGACACTTATGGACCCTCAATTCCACTCGGCCCCTTTCTCTCTCTTGTGCAGCATATAGAGGTTGAAAATATGGTAAAAATGCCTCTCTGGCTACTCAAAAGATTCATGAGAAGCTACACGGCACGGACAAAAGGAGCCGCAAATATCCTTGTGTCATGGAGACACATTCATTTTCGTTGTCGTTTAAGCATGTACCTATGGTCTACAAATCACTCTTATAAACAAATTGAGCATGATGCTCGTTTAATAACAAATTTGTTCCCTACATATTGCGCGATACTTCTAACAGGTAGTGCGAAGGGTTGCTAGCTACGGTTTGACTTAGATTCCCGCCCATATTCTCGGAGATAGATTTATTATCCTTACTTGTAAACATTCTTAAGTTTCAATTCATTTGATAAATTCATGATAGATACACGTGATATACATTAATTGAGCCCTGTCGCCTCCCAAATCCAAATCACCGCCAACGGCCGGCTATTGGCGGTAACCGCGCCCCATTTTAACAACACCCATGAAATAACGCCCCATCCAACATTGAGCCATTTGTATTTTTGGCTTGGGATTGCGACTCGTAGGAACTTCCTTCTCGTCCCAATAAAACCTTCACCCCTGCCATATCAAGTTCCGAAGCCGCGTCCGGCTTCGAAAGGAGATTTCGGCGCAGATTAACCTTATCTTTTTGATAAACCACCCAGAAAAGTGTCATGAGAGCCTCGAAACTAGGTGTCTCACACTCGCTGATACCTACATTCACGACTAAGAGACCTGACCGAAGCTTAGACTGTCTAGACGCTGACCGCATTGCCGCCATCGTCGCATCCATAAGAGGACGCGCCAAATTGGGGCTGCAGGCTAGCAGTCGTCTCAGCAAGCTTGTTCGGACACTGAATTTCAGTCGTCGAAGGTTCGTCATTGAGGAAGTCACACAGTACGAATTCGTCAAAGACACCGTTGTGGTGGCCATCCATATGATCAAGCTCAGAATGGAAGGTGTCGGCGAGAGGGGCGATCCCCTCTTCAAAGAGGTCATTATCTGGGCGATTGGGGTGAGGAGGCTCGAAAAAGTTGCGGAAGTCATTATAAGATAAGTCGCCACTAATACTCGAGAAATTTTCATCGAAAGTGTAGGCTTCAAATTTTTCCAAGGCCGAGTTATTTCCGACTGACACTGCAGGTCGCACAACACCGCGGCAGGATGTTGTGTCAGGTCGGAAGACTTAGCGTTGGAAGAACTAGCCACAGGTCGAATCTCGGGTGAGAGTGAGGCTGGGTCGACAGTTTCGGGTACTCCTGAACTGATGGTTCGAGTTGTCATGGAGCTTGGCGTTTCGCTGCTAGAGGCGAATAATTTCTGAGAAAACGTGATTGGGGATGAGGCTCGAATGTCTGATTGGGGCGGAGTTGAAACGGAGAAGGAGCGGATAGCTGAACCTCCAAATCGCTCAAGCTCTTGTTGTAGAAGATGGTATTTGGCTTCCATATCTGCCAATCTCATTTCAAGGTCCAGGTTCTTACGTTCAATAGCTTGCTTTTCTGCCTCTAATGCTTCGACTTCTTGACGCTTCCGTTCTCGTGATGACTGGGCAGCACGTCTATTACGAAGTACACGCTCGACCCGTCGCTGCTCCTTTTCATCTTCTGTCTTTGCACGTTTCCTTTAGAAATAGATTAGTTGCAAGATCACTTTTGGGACTGTCGTAGAAATCTTACCTGGGTGGAAGGTTTGTTTTTGGTTCGGGCAGTTGCTGCCCCCAAGATTTACGCTTTTTTACTGGCTTCTTTTCCATGGGGGTGTTATCAGTGATATTGCCGAAAAAACATTCATCATCGAAAGACTGTGGTGTTAGAACCTCAATTGGATTCATTGTGTTGTCGAAGAGCGATGGACAGAATGAAACAGGTGTCGATGCAAAGCTCTCAATATTACTTTCGGCAGGCGAATGCTCAAAATTGAAGTGTGCTGAAGAGTCCATGATGATTTTGGTCGGTCAATTGAATGTATGGTGGGCAAAATTTAGAAATGTATGTATGTGAGAGTTGATGGAAAGGCCGGCTTTCAGTATTGAATAATCCCTTGTCGCATTATGGAAGTTAACAGCATGTAAGATAGGGGGAAGTGAAGAATAATAGGTAAATTAGTAATCCAATCGGCGCGGTATTACTAAGCGCCGATGGCCCAATCAGGTGAGTAATGGCTGAAGTGGGTAAGGAGAGGATGAAGGATGAGTTCTACAATGGGGCAGGACAAGCTGTTAATTTATGGTAGGATAGATGACTGAGTTGGACGGGGGGCCGAGTTAATTAAAGCCTGAGGCAACATTTAACAGACACCTGGGGTATGTTCGTGGTCTTTGCGGCTTACAAAGTTCCTTCTAGCCCCACCTACATTCAGTTCCTCGACGAACCCTTAGGACCCCTTACGGCCTTACTTCCTGCTTAACGGGGCCCCGATCGAGCTCAAGCACCCGGTGATTGCGTTCGGACGGGGTCTGAATTAACTCAGCACTGTTCCAGCATTAGTTTTGGCTTTCTGCGGGAGAGCCAAAGCGAAATAGATTCTTATTATTCTACTTCTCACATCCGACGTGACTGGGACAGTCGTATTAATTGTCAGTAACATCATAGAAAGGCGTGGCTCGATATAAGATATCGAGTTTGATTCGTTGTATCTACAAGACATGCAAGCTGAAAATCTGTCATTATTACACGCGCACTTAATAAACCAAGGCTCGATCTTTCTTGGAGCAGTCGTGTGGTATTAAAGTGCTTAGTCATAAGCTTTCTCGTTGAACATGGGACTGAAAGTAGTAGTAGTAGTAGTAGTGGTTTTAGTAGGGAAGAAGCTTTTTTCCTCTCAAGCTGAGCACTTGTAAGAGATATGACTCAGAACTGATCTGAGCTTGTCACCGAATGGTTCGGCTGAGTGGATGGGACGCAGGGACAGACGGTATGCAAGCATGATCACGAGAAATCTGCGTGGTTGGTTGTTGGAGCCTAGCTCAAATCCAAACAATTATTTTTAAAAGTAGTGAAACAGCGTTCTTGAATGCAAAGGTCTCTCAGTCACGACCATGCGTCGGCAGGGCAAAATATCTTAAGCTTCTTTTCCATCCCTACAAAGCAAAAACTCCCGGGATTCAAGGAGCATGGAGTTTAAACATAATTAACTCCCGTGCTTGAATTTAAGAGACGACCCTAATTCTGCCCTAAACCGCGGTTCTATGCTACACCCATCTACATTCAACAGCGTCGGACGTTACGTTCGACTCTGCGATCTACAGTCTCGCGGCATAGAGGTCTGATTTAGGATAGTAGTGCCGCTTCGGAAACGGTAGAAGTCGGCTTGGGTAGAACGAGATATCCCCTTGCCGAATCCATCGAGACATGGGTCCTCTAACACTGAAAGGAAAAGCGCTAGAACTTTGGGGTTGTCTAGGGACTGTCCGGCTAATACCTAAGCGAGGTAGTCGAGAACATCAGCGAGACCGTTCTAGTGGCCGAAGTCATTATAGTGGGGACTATTACCGCATAACAGACTCGTTTCAAATGTCGACCCAGGTAGCTAGCTCCAGGCGTTCGACGTCTAGATTTGGAAATGATCAGATCAATGCTTCTTAAATGCAACTAAATTCAATTGAAGCCTTGAGTACGGGCGCAGTGACCAAGGGATGAGCCTTTCTATAACAAATTGATCCACACCGACAGTGGCTGGCATCACCCGCCACTGTAGATTGAGTATTCCTCAGCCACACGGACACTCTCCTGTCCAAGAGATCCTGGACCTGAATCCCGCCAACGTCTAGGTTAAGTGATCCAGACGTGAACCCCCGGCCACTCATTCAACTGGTCATTCCCTAAGGCATGGAGAGCTTGTTGGTGATCGACATGGGGTCTCCCGTAGCCGTGGATTTGACTGACCAGTGAAGCCATACCGTGCAAGCACCCCTCATCGGCCAGAGCGTGCGTCACATCTACTCCCCGAGCTCGGTTAGCGTCCGATGAGCTTCGTCGCCGGCATAGGGGCTTTGCGGACTGTCACGGGGCACTTTCGGCTTTGTGATCGCGTACCTTCCAACTCAGAACTGCTTGAAACAAAAATACGCTCGTATTGCTTACATTGGCAACTTGCTCGAGACTTGCCGCTTTTGGCAACCTTGGATTGGAAAGAAACGAAATTTGTTCCTCGGCTCCCATTCTCTAGCCTACGACTTTTGGTTGTAACATTATCATATTCTCGTCCAACCGTTATCTCGAAAAGGCCAAGGGTGTAGATCAACTGACTTAAGCAGACGATTGATCCCACTCCACGAAACGCCCTTGTCGCCAGGGTGAAAACAATGTCATTTGGATGTTCAAAGCGAAGCAAAGATTTGAGTGACGCACTGACGGCGCTCGTCGTGCCCTGACCTTATCGGCATGAAGAATGAGGGACAATCAATGGCACACGGTCCTCTCTTGGAGAAATTTTCGGTGCGCCATGCGAATTTAAGAATTTAACTTCAACTCCGCATCACGAAACGCTCTTTTATCCACGATTTATGCAGGGCTCTAATGCATGAGGGTTGTCCAGACGGTTTTCTAAATTTTCTAGTGTCTAAAAATCAATCGGAAACGTAGGCGAATGAAACAGATTACTCCGGTGGTTGTAAGCAGCCTCGTAAGTACGAACAAGTCAAAATGCCTAGAAATATGCCTCGAACCTACCCATATTTAGTGGCCTTGATTAATACGGGACGTTTGGTATCATAAGATTATCATTTGTATTGTCAAAACTAGCTTGCCGTGATTGAACTTGAACTAATAGTGAGATTTGCAATTTGAGACAACAAAGGAGGGTCGTACTTGCTCCAGAGGGCAAATAAGTTGTTAGCCTAAGCTTAAAAGTCAGGATCTGTATGCTAATTCTAAGCTCGAAGCTTATATTTAAACTTTTAAGCTGTCTCCATGAGTTCCTGTGCGGCATTTTCCATAAAACAGTAGACGTTTTTGATTTTGGCAGCGTCATTCTGGTACCAGACGGTTCTCGAGAATAGACTGGGTAGACCCTAATTCCCAACTAGTAGCGAATACGTCAACTGTGAGCCACCATCATCAAGCTATGAAAATTGTTGACAAGAGTGTGTTTCATCTGAAGTTGGGGATGACTCGGTACTCTTCAGGCACGCACCGGTAATTATTCATGTCTCCGCCAACAGACGGGCCGAAGCGCCAGGATAAGGGCTGACGCGATGATTCCCGCCCCGTATCTGACCCGCCAAAACAAAGACACAACTCAGTGGGTCATGATAATAGAGGCAAGTTCTATCGGCTGGTTTCTGTAGTCCACGTACCAGCTACAACTAAGCGAGAGTACTGGTGCCGAATACCACTCCGTACCGAGGTGGAAGATTCATCATCTGGGAGCGTGCCGAGGCAGGCCCGTGGATACGGCTCGTCAACCAGCCCATCCGTCATAACTACGCGCGTAGACTGCTCCCGCACACACCATAGCCGCACGCACGAGCCTAGTCGTTTCAGAAGCGACAGGATTTTAGCTGCACAGTATCCGACCACGCCCTCCTGGCTCTGTAAGCTGCGAACCCTTGTATGAAACGTCTCGCACTCATCGATCGCCGGAGCGACATCACACTCGCTGCCGATGGTGTATCCGTCACGCAGAATCTTTCCGAAATAGTTCTCTACCGACTACTCCATCAACCTTCTTCTCTATGACCTCCCATGCAGACCCTGCATCATCGATGAGTGATTCAGAGTCCCAGATGCATTTAAAATTTATGGGTGAGGCTGTGGCCATGGTACGTTTTCGAATGTGTTTAGAAGTGCCTACGGCCTCTTACTCAGAGCCTGCGGCTAGTTCAAAGTCGTACTACAATACTAGCAGAATTAGATGGGTTGTGCTTGCGTGACGACTTTATCTGTATTCCTCTCACTACCTGATCTCGTATGCCTGAATCGTATTTTTTTTCATTTCCTCATGCAACTCCGCTTTGCATAAATTCCAATTCTGCTACAAACTGACTAACTGATCTATGTTGAGTTTACAGGCCCAAGTCGCTCTTGAAAATTCAGAGACACCAGTCGGATGCGTCCTAGTCTATCAAGAGCAAGTAATCGGTCGAGGTATGAATGATACCAACCGCTCATTCAATGGCACTCGACACGCCGAGTTTATGGCTATAAATCAAGTTCTAACCCAAATGCAACTCTGTAATGAAGATGCAGACTCGATGAACAGAAGTAGGTTAGAGACAAATCAAATTGAGGGAAATGGTGATGTTAAAGATCAAATCTCGGCTAAGAGGAAATACTCTCCAGAAATCTTGTCACAATGTACTCTCTACGTAACTGTTGAGCCTTGCATTATGTGCGCTAGTCTATTACGCCAGTTTGGAATTTGGCGTGTGTTTTTTGGCGCATGGAACGACAAGTTTGGGGGAACTGGAAGCGTACTCCGTATTCATAAGAGTAACGGTGCTGTCATAAAGGAAATAGAAGTTGGAATAGACAGAAATTATGATTTCGAAGTCAGTGGTGGTTGGATGCGGGAAGAAGCTATTCTTCTATTGAGGCGATTCTATGTCCAAGAAAACAACAGAGCCCCTGAACCGAGAGACAAAGGGAAGAGAGTTATTAATTTGGTGGTTGAAAAAATTGAGACAGTCGAATATTCAATAGAGCGCCCACCCAATATGAGTTCCTGAGAAACTTTGACCGAAAAAAGATAAATATCGGAAGAAAAAAACTCAAAGAGTCCACCCTTTGAAGACAGACTAGCCTTCGCATCGTTCATTCTACCGGCAGTTGATATCCAGTTAAAAATTCCTGTTTTTTAGTTATCGTTATTTTGAAACATCTCAAACAGTGTCAGTTTTTAATTTGGTTGGTTCAGATTCCAAAAATATCATCTGTATAATTCACACTTTTGCAAACCTATTCTCAGCTTCTAGTTCCCTTTCAGCTTGCTGATAGTATTTTGCGGTATCAACACCGTGTTGATTATGATTAACAAAATTGAACCATGGTAAGACATGGTACCAAACGCCTGCGTATCGCGAGTTCCGACTTGCAACACCTTGGATATAGGGAGAAGTGGAGCTGACGCCGTACAATGGCTCACCCTTTTTCACTTTGGCCACCATTTCTTTCATGTCTAGATCTATTTCACGCGCATTTTCAGTCCAGCCATAGAATCGTACTATCAGATTAGTTAGATTTTTATTATTATTTAGAGATAGCGGGTAACAAACAAGTAGAACGTTGGTAGTATGTAAGAAACCCCGCGACCAAGCCCACAGTACCTGCGAGCCTCATGATAGGGGCGAAGCCACCGCGACCGACTCTTGAGGGCGCCATCTTTTCCCATATTAACATCAAGGCAGGCCCGCCAGCTGCGGTTATGGCTCCAGCCACATAGTCGGAGGGTCTCGCGTAGGAAATCACTCTTCGAAAATGACTATCGCACATCAGTTATGTCAAAAAATTCACTTGATCGAGTGATTACGGGTCGGAGTCGATAAGCTAAGAATCGATCCGTGTCAGCAAGTTCTTCGATCCGTATCAGTTGATAGTTCCAAGCTACTTAACTTACTGGGAAATCTGAGTGTACTGTCTTAGATGGTACGAAAGGCCTTTGCTCGATGTTGGCCATTTTTTGTTGACCTTATTTTATTGTCAATTGCTTGCTTACTGTTTATTGTCCAGTTGTACTAGATCCTTGAAAGTGGCTAAAGTTGAGCTACCGAGGTGAAAGGAGCCAACTCCATACGGGATGCCGCAGGTATCAATCGCGCAAGTATGTTTAAATTAAGGCACCAATATATACTTCAATTATCTTGATTCTAAAGCGGTCACTGAATCACGAAGCAACAATAACAACTTCTAATGTCTAAATTTGGTTTAGAGGGTTTAACAGAGGGAAATTCAACATCTTCTACAAATAATGGCCTGGATGATCTCTTCAACTACGACACAGACGGCGATGATCCGTTCAGAAATGACCAAAAATCTTCGAAAAAAGATCGGGAGAAAGCCATTGAGAGAAAAAGTGAGATTAAGGATGGTTTAGGTATCGATGAAGAAATTCAACTTACTAGAAAACCGCGAGCGCCCAGGATTAAGCTTGACGAGAATCTGTATTCAATATCTGTATTCTTCTGAATAGAACACGCCCACTGACAGGCTGGAAGTTTGCTCTCAGCCGCGGGTATTCCGAAACTGCGTTCTAGTGCCAAAAATATACAATTTAGAGGGAAAGGCCATGAGGTACTTTTTCAATTATCAATACTTTTCAAAGCTTACTTGGCTAGTATTCCGATGCTTCAAAACTGCTAAATTTATACCAACTCTGGCTTGATGATTTATTCCCGAAAGCAAAGTTTCGAGACGCTCTAGCGATGGTCGAGAAACTGGGTCACAAGAAGAGAATTCAAGCATTGCGTATGGAATGGATTAATGAGGGAAATCCAAACGTGCAACCTGATTTGGATGCCTCAGCGTTAGAAACGCAAACACGATGCACAGGGGTTACCACAATTGATGAAAATTATCCGGAAACAGGTGAAGACGTCTCTCAAAGGACTAGAGATGAGAGGCCGAGCACTCCAATGGAAGAAGAACAGCCAGAAGAAGATATCTACAATGCGACACCGAAAACTCAGACACAGAGGTCAAAAAATACGCCTGAACAGCCTAATACAGCTAGTGAGAAGCTTGGAACACTGGAAGAAGAGGGGCCAGTTGACGACGAACTTGATGCTTTGCTTGCAGGTTTCTCAGCCAAACCCCATCACGATTTGGTAACATCTACAGTCGAAAAAAATGATTTTGAAGATGATGAGGAGGCTATGGCTGAAATGGATATGGACTGGTAAAGTTGGAAGTAAAGAGATGACATGACGGATGGTAATTACCCTGAATATTGATAGTATATCTCTTTGAATGAAGTTAGAAGGTCCTAAGATCGAGAGTGCTTTCGTAAAGGCGTGCAGGCTAAGATCATGAATTATTTTCACAAGTTTGATTGGTGTTCATTTAATCTACAAGGTCATAACTATATTACGATGTCTAGTTTATTACTGTCAACAGACCCTGACTTTCTGTGATTCGGGTGTTGTAACTCCCTATACGCTTCCTTCACAACATTTATCCAGTAGAGGTCCCCCAAATATCTTCATTTGACCACAAACTTACAGGAGCCACTATCCATCATTATCTCCACTCTCCAGCCAAGAAAAGATCGCTATTTTCGAGTATGTAGCCGCAGGGAAATGTCTCAAAAAAATTGTTTGAAGGACGCTCTTCATATTGACATCAGGACTAAATCTGAAGACAAAGCTACCCTTTTGAAGCGTTCGAAGATACTAGTCACTGCAGACCTGTGTGTATCTAACAGCTTATTTTTCCCTTTTTAACTTTCTCTCATAATTCGTAGTGCAGAACAAACAGAAGGCCGTAAAAGGATATCGAAAAAACCTTGGTCCAGAGTGATTGCCTTGAAGGAGCCCAGTCTAAAACCTAAAAGACGTTAGGAGCATGGAATTTTCGAGTTATTTGAGTAGTTTGGATGCTCTGTTGCCTAGTGGATTTGAAAGTTAGAAATTGAAAAGCTGAATTCTACTTTGCTTTCGGGGGCTTTTCTTTGCTCGCAGGTGGGAAGCTTATGCTAGGGTATAATGAGAGCTTCGCTACCTGCCGATAAAGCGGTTGGTGACGCAACACCTATCCTCTCTCCCAGAATAATTGTTCTCGCCTGGATGGCCGTATGAGATGTTAAAAGCGTATGTTTAAGTGGGGGAGACAACTCAGCTCAAAGATGAATGGGTGGGAATTAATCATGTCTCTGCATACTGTACAGTGAGATCTAGATGTTCACAGGAGATGACACTGATGGGTGTAGGGCTTTCTCTCCTTTCTTTCTAAAGTACCCTTCGTCTTGGCAAGCGTAGAGTTGCAACTACGTACAACAGCAATAGTGATATATATAATTAGTACATAATTAGTATAGCCTCAGCCTCGTGGTTTTCAGTGATCCACAGCACGATTGGCAAACTCTCTGTGATCATGCGACATGGCTGATATTTTAGTAGAAGCTCTAGAAAAAGTCAATCTTTCCATTGAAAAAGAAAATAAAAGAGCAGATGTCTGGATTGACGATATTCTAGAAACTTATCATGAACCACAACAAACAAATCAGTCGCCTGATAGCATCGTGCGTGAACTTGAGCAGAAATATCTCACCCCATCTTCATCATTTTCAACGGAATGGCTGAACAAACTTCAACAGTATGTGTGATAGTGGATTGTTGAAGTCAGAAACCTAACTTAGCGTCAGAGATTGGGAAGCTCCTCCCGAGTACACGACCCTTTTTAGTATTGCTCCCACCCAATCCCGCACTATCACCCGCTTCACGCGCGAAGGCCTCGAAGGTCGTGTAACGGGATATAAAGAGGTCACTGTACCTGCCAACAGTAAAACTGCGAAAAACAGTACTTCTTTCCTACGAAAACCTGCCAATAAGGCCGAGTTTGTCCGAGGTGCGGCAGGATTTTTCCCATTTGCATCTGGAGGGCTCGACAGTGTAGTTGAGGCCGCAGCTCTAGAGGAAAAATTTACGAGGGATACTGATAATCCTCTAAATTATCTGGAAAACAAATTGACCAGGGTGATCGACTCGCGAAACTCAGAGGGGCTCCTTACAGTCCCGCCTGGATTCAAGAGGGGTGGCCAATTTTCAAAAACTAATAAGGATTCTGGGGAAGATAAGGAGGCAGAAGATATCGAAAACCTGCTGGACCAGGATCCAGATGAAGAGGTTAAGGAGGCCAACATTCCGGACAAGGAAAATGAATCTGTAGATCTTGATGAGGAGGACGAAGGTGATGACATTGATTCTCTTCTTCCGATCGAGTTTCCAGCCCTGGAACCGCATGGAATTTTAGCCGCGTCTAGTGCAAAGAGGGGAGGAAAAGAATGGGCACATATGGTCGACATTAATCGTGGCTTCAAAAATTTTAAAGAACTAGTGCCTCAGATGGCAAAAGAATGGCCTTTTGAATTGGACACTTTCCAAAAAGAGGCTATATACCGATTGGAAAATGGGGACTCTGTATTTGTTGCTGCTCACACATCTGCTGGTAAAACCGTTGTGGCCGAATATGCTATCGCACTGGCTGCAAAGCACATGACAAAAGCTATTTACACCTCGCCCATCAAGGCATTAAGCAACCAAAAGTTTCGAGATTTTAGACAAATCTTTGATGAGGTAGGGATTCTGACCGGAGATGTACAAATTGCGCCTGAGGCAAGCTGTGTTATAATGACAACGGAAATTTTAAGAAGTATGCTTTATCGTGGGGCAGATCTTATCCGGGATGTAGAATTTGTTATCTTTGATGAAGTTCATTACGTCAATGATCTAGAACGAGGTGTTGTTTGGGAGGAGGTGATCATCATGTTGCCGGCTCATGTAACACTGATTCTACTTTCTGCGACAGTTCCAAATACTTATGAGTTTGCTTCTTGGGTCGGACGAACGAAAAGAAAGAACATATACGTTATTTCAACACTAAAACGCCCTGTTCCACTTGAGCATTATCTATGGACTGGTAAAGACATGGTTAAAATAGTCGATTCTGATAAATGTTTCATCGATAAAGGATGGAAGGAGGCCAATGATGTCTTATCAGGAAGAGATAAACAAAAGTTATTACCTAAATCAGATGTTCCAGCACGTGGAGTTTCTCATTCTCGCGGTGGGAGAGCAAGCTCACACCGCGGAGACTCACACCGCGGAGACTCTCAACGTGGAGGTTCTCACCGCGGAAGCTCTCATAGAGGTGACTCGCAGTCTCGAGGACGTGGTGGGCCTCCAAGGGCAAGCCATGCACCTGGTCACATGGGCCGTGGAGGTCGACTTGGCGGCAGAACAACAGTTGCTCAAGACAAAAACCTTTGGGTTCATCTTGTTCAGTTTCTTAAAAGTCATGTGCTACTACCAGCGTGTATTTTTGTCTTCTCAAAAAAACGATGCGAAGAAAATGCAGATGCGTTAAGTAATCAAGACTTCTGCACAAATACCGAAAGAAGTGCTATTCATATGATAATTGAAAAGTCTATAGCTCGGCTCAAGCCAGAAGATCGATTACTACCACAAATTGTGCGAATCCGAGACATGCTAGGCCGTGGTATTGCAGTCCATCATGGGGGCCTGTTACCGATAGTGAAAGAAGTTGTTGAAATGCTTTTTGCACAAACCTTGGTAAAAGTACTGTTTGCTACGGAGACCTTTGCTATGGGCCTTAACCTTCCTACAAGAACTGTTGTATTTTCAGGATATAGAAAACATGACGGTCACTCATTCCGAAACCTTCTACCTGGTGAATACACCCAAATGGCAGGCAGAGCTGGTCGTCGTGGTCTTGATACTGTAGGGTCAGTCATAATTGTGAGCCCAGCAGGGTTCGAAGCCCCTCCAACAACCGAACTCCGAAATATGATACTCGGGGAGCCCTCTAAGCTTCGATCACAGTTTAGATTGACATATAATATGATTCTTAATCTACTACGTGTTGAGGCCCTCAAGATCGAAGAAATGATCAAACGTAGCTTTAGTGAACATGCTACACAACAGCTGCTTCCAGAACACGAAAAAGCAGTAAAGGTTTCAGAAGCAGACTTGGACAAAATTAAAAGAGATACTTGCAGTAAATGTGATATTGACCTTGATGATTGTCATCAGGCAGCACAGAATTACAGACAACTTACTACCGAACTCCACCATAAGCTTTTATCAACCCCAGTAGGCCGCAAAATGTTTACATCCAAGAAGCTGATAGTGTATCAAAGAGATGGCGTCCGGACTCCTGGGATTCTGTTAAAAGATGGCGTTGTCGGAGGGACAACGCCGTCTGTTCATGTCTTAGAAATAAGAACGAAAAGAGACAGTAGAGACACTACTGACCTTCTTCCTTACATGCCTAAGTTTCGCAAGTTGTTTACCCAGCTTCCTCAGAGCAAAGTTTTGATATACACTAAACCCCATCATATTCCCGTGAGCCATATTGAATGCGTTACAAAGACTACCCTTAAAGGGGTTGTACCCGAGATTTTTAGCCGCGGTGAAGACCATTTCAAAGCAAAGGAGCAACTTTTTAATCTTTGTCGAAAGTGGGAAGCGTCCGAATGGGACGAGACAGATTGGTCAAAGATTAAAGACATGCAACTTCGTGACATACTGACAAAACGCGACGAACTAAGTGCAAAGTCTCAGAGCTCTTCATGTATAGAATGCCCCTTGTTTACAAAACACGTAAGCTACTCCCAAAAAATACTAAATTGAATTTGACGCTAATGAGAGGAAGTTTGCTATGTGCCACGACCAATGGCTTATTAAGGAGAATATTTCACAACTGCGTCAATTAATGTCTGATCAGAACCTTCAACTTCTTCCTGACTATGAACAGCGTATTCAAGTGCTCAAGGATCTCGACTTTATCGATGATAACTCACGTGTGCAATTGAAGGGTAAAGTAGCCTGTGAAATACATTCTGCCGATGAGCTAGTATTGACGGAACTAATTCTTGATAATGTTCTGGCTGCATATGAGCCTGCTGAAATTGTTGCGCTTCTTTCTGCCTTTGTCTTCCAAGAAAAAACTAATATGGTCCCAAACTTGACTGGCAACTTAGAGAGGGGTATGAAGACAATCATAGAAATATCTGAAAAAATAAACGAGCGTCAAATTTATCATCAAGTAATTTTATCATCCGAGGACTCAAATGATTTCGTCTCACGACCAAGGTTTGGTCTTATGGAGGTAGTCTATGAGTGGGCCCGTGGGATGAGCTTTAAAAATATTACAGATTTGACAGATGTGCTAGAAGGCACCATTGTTCGGGTAATAACAAGACTCGACGAAACATGTCGAGAGGTCAAGAATGCCGCAAGAATTATAGGTGATCCAGAACTATTCACAAAGATGCAGACTTGTCAGGAAATGATTAAGAGAGATATTACTGCCGTGGCAAGTCTGTACATGTGAATAAGCCAATTTTACCTCATCCGTTAAAGATATGTTACCTCAATCAACCTTGGTAGCCTTGCAATGGTCAGATTTATGATATTTTCGAAAATTTTAACCATTATCAGGCAGGCGTACAATTCAGATTAAATTATGTACTGAAAAACAATCAATCGGACTAAATAAAACAGTCTTGAGTTTGATATGATTTACTCGTTTGGGGATTGTTTTTACCAGTGAATCATTTGGGATCATTATAATTTCAGACGATGGACTTTGGATGGATGATAATTAAGAAAATAGTATTTCGGGTTTTCTAAAAGCATTACTAATACAAAGAGATAAAATTTGTCCGTTATGTAAACAAATTATCCATCAAATGAATATCTCGCTTGTGTAAGCATGTGTGTGTTTATATTGTACTACTTGAGTCTATGAATATCTAGCACATTGGGCTCCTCTCTGACACAGGCCACACCTTGTATAGTGCTCCTTGCCTCTCATGTTTCTTAAAAGATCATTGATATATTCCCCTTGATGAATAGCCATTCAGCTCGGGGTTTACCCGTGGAATTCAGCCACCTTTCCACGGAACCTTCTACCCATAAAAATAAAATGGTAGCAGTGGAGACTGCGCGCGCCGGAAAATGCCTCAAAAAACTTGCAGCCCGAGCCAGACAAGGCCTAGACACCGGGACCACATGAAGTGCGCATATTCATCTATATCTCCCTTATTTGTAACATTATTGGCCGACTTGATCCAATCCACCATCTCCGTATCGGCTGCTGGGTACGCTCCGGAAACTCATCGGACGGCTTTTCCTCCATGATCAAGGGTTGGTGGCAAGTAGGGCTCCGACCCTACCATCTGATCTGATCATGGCTAGCTTCATGATAGTGGTGATAGGGGAATGTGTTGAGAGATGGAGACGATACAGACGGCGAAAGCGATTGGGAATCCTCGTCGAAGTGAGGACATAGTTACTCAATCTCGGCTCTGCAGACTCTACAGTGAGAGCTGGAGGTTCGTAGGGGACCCACTGACAGGTGTTGAGAATAGTCCCGCTTGTGTAAGCATGTGAGAGCTCCTAGTTTTTTTTTTATGTCCCTACTGAGTCTATGACTATGAAAGATAGCTAAAACTATCTAAATAGCTTTAAAGTTAATAGTAAATTTTTTTGTTGTTGTGCTCAATTTTTGCCAATAGATGATGAGGGTCGTGCCCTGAGAGCTCCTTGTTACCCTGTATGATATAGATAATTGCTAGAATTCGTCAGCTATTCAGTCAGATGGGTTGCATATTACGTACGTGAGAAGCGGATGCTAAGACAAATGGCTGTGAAATGATAATCTTATATTACATGAATGATACTAGTTAGTTAAGATCACAACTAGATAACATTGAACTTGCGCATCAGACCCACACGAGCACCACAAGAAACACGGTGAAGAGTTACTGTATTTGAGCCAGTCATCTCCTGTCTCAAGTGAGAAAAGAGTTCAAGCCACCCAGAGTCTACTTGGGAAACCAGCCCTGAAAGTGTACAAACACACCATCCAAATCTGGAAACGCCTGCGGTGTCGTCTGTACTCTCGCAAATGAAGCCGTGTAGCGCGCGATTGACAGTCCGTATATCTACTTTCCAAGAATCGAAATTAGCCCCTTACAAGATGTTATCTGTCGTTTGAATTATCTTTTCCATTTATCTTGGTCTCTCTCACTTCTATCCTAGAAACCTGGCTCCCAGGTTTCTGTACCACTATTTGTCTGGTACGGCAGGTATTTGTATCCCTGATAGAGTGTATATTGAGGTCATTTGAGGCCAGAAACTGATTTAAGGAGAGATAAGGTCATTGAAACAACGAAGTACTTAGTGGTACTTGCAGACTTGATGAGGCTTTGGTGGGAATCGATCTTGTTGAGAGTGAGAGATTGATTTGGTAAAGTATTTTTAATCATTGCCTCGTGAGCCAACTTCTTCAGCATCGCTAAATTCGACTGAACTTGGCTCTGTGTGAATATTTCATTCTCAATTTCGTAGAGGACACTACAGACAGGTTTTCAGTCTATGCCCTCTAAATTGGGAGCTTGTTAGGTGCTCTGGACGCTCTAACTTGTATTATGCTGACTTGCCAAAGGAAGTATTTGTTATCATGTCGTTATTTTATCTCAAAATAATATTTCCCTTAGTCTAAAAACATACATGGCATGTAGGGCGTTGATGGAGGTATTAGGGAAAGTCGGGCGTTCACTTTGCGCCAGTTACATCTGCGGCGTCCCCGAAGTCTGTCAACGTGACCCAACCTCCATCTTCGGCATCACGGCAACGAACTTCTCTGGGTCCTACGCTTCACCGCACAAGACTAAGCAGGAAGCTCCCTTGTCGTTAGGGCTTGACTACCGCGTGGCAAAAATGACTGACAATTCACCCGTAGTCAAATTAAATGTCTTCGATCCCAATCGATCAGCCAGAATAAATGCTCCGGAGAACCAGGTAGCAATAGATGATGCAACAGAAGTTTGGGATGAAGAAAAACTTAATAAAGCGATGGCCACGATGAAGGAGATACATATCAAGGTTTATACCTCGCAATGAATTGCGAGAAAGCGAAATTGACACCACAAGCTGCGTAGCCTTCGCACTACAATTCCTCGTCTCCTAGCCCCCCTGGCTGTACAGCAACCCACTCGTACGATATTCATCTTATAGAGTTATTCTTCTTTCTCGATTTTTTTTTGTTGCTAACGCTGGCTTAGCTGATAGTCTATACCGAGAGTTCAGCCAGGCAATAATTAATACCAATCAGGAAATTCAAGACTTCCGCAATATCGTATCAGCTGAGAAAAGCTTGAAGGTATTTGAACATACTCGAGAATATCAGGCCAAAAATCCGAGGGGCATTAGACCATGGAAATTCACGGAGCATCCGGACTGGTTTGTCAAAGATAGTTAAACCATCGATAGCCAATATGCGCGGCTAGTTTAATTTTTTGACACATACGATACTCAAGTCACCTACTAGTACCAAAGTTATTACACTGCAAAATTTTCGAAAGTTGCGCTAACTAAATCTATAGGATTGTGCAGCCTGCCAAGTGACAAAGATCTGGCTCTACATTCTCAATCGGTATAGGAGTCTTTTGGTCAATATTGTGGCTATTTTTCAAGGGAAAAGAATGATTGACTATTTCTGGCTCTTATACCTTTGTTTATAGGTGAATATTTTTCTACAATTTCCCAAAAAACGATGCTCAACAAATTATAGCGTGTCTAGAATAGGAAATTCGAGCTATTGGTATAGATTAGCTTCAAATTAATCTTTCACTCTATACAAAATGATAGATAACCCCGATTATTCAAGCAAATTAGGAAATTAAATCTTCTGGCGATTCAAACTTTAACCGCTGTTTAACTATATACTGTGTTTCAGTAGCTAAATGAATACTCAACATCTGAAAACTACGAATTGATGTACCTATTTCCTGGACGCAGAATGTAAGGTTTTAATTCAGCCAAAATAGGCCAAATAATTCTCATTAAGGCTTTTATCTTTATCAAGCCTAAGAATTCAGGATTGGCACAACTTTTGCGGAATTTTTGTACGATAGACAATAGAGCTTATACAGCAGCTAAAAAGGCTCAGAAAATTTTACTTCAACCTCTAGTACCAACTTTCGGTAGCTGGGTACAGCGGTAAGTATTACGGCGCAACCCAAAAGGGCTAAGATCTGCCATCTTCGAAGTGTATAAGCTGATTATCGAGGTTCACAACGAAGGTTTAGAACTAAGAATTCATAGATTAAGAAGAGATAAATGTGGTAGCAAGATACCAAAGATGATCATGATCAAAATAAGAGAAGAATACAAATTGCGAAGCTGAAGATCTGGGAAAGCCATTTCTTCCGCTTCTTATAATCAAAACAATTCATTAATACAATCTCCGGCTCGTCTTTGAACCATCCATCGCATAAGGGTATCTGAGTTGAATTGTAAATCTCCTCAAATATTTAATCTGGGAAATAACATGGGGATTCTCCGAAAAACACCATCATTTGGTCAAAAGTGGCACAACTTTCCATGAAGGTTATTTCATCTTAATAACAATTGTTACTATCTTTATTGACCCATCATATCCCATTCCTCGATTTTTTCTCGTTGCGCTTCGGCATGGCGGATTGGGAGACTGGAAAGGTAGATTTCACGGTTGGAAAATTTTTCATGGCACCACAAAAACCACCAATGAATAGCGGAACATCCGCAATAATCCCTGAAGAAAATTTCGTGACATTCACTGTCATGAAATTGGAGATACAAAAATCACTAGCTTATTACCTAAACAAGGCTAGAGACAGACTGGTGATCGCAGGCACTGAAAAATCTGCGGCACCGATGGTCGAGATAGACGAAGCACTTGACGCCTTTATAGCCCACGCTAAGACGTTAAGATGGAAGCTTACGGCTAATCCAATGGAAGAACGAATGCTAGCCTTAGAAAAGGCAGTAACGAAGAGTCTCCAGGAGCCCGTCCACAAAACGGCTCCTCAGACGTTACACTGAATGGAAGGCTGACAAACTTACGCTTCGGTCGTCGCACCGCCAGCAACAAAAGGGGCAGTAAGAATACGACTGGAAGGATCGGAAAAAATGCAGCCGACTGAGCTGCTTAACAAGGCTAAATTACATATCGATGGGGCATATTCCGTAAGGCAGCTGAGGAGTAATGATACGGAGGTGTTTGTGCAGTGGGTCGCCCAAAGAGACGCTGCCTTGGATATGGCACAGCCAAAGGAGTCCCGCGTCCTGAAGTAGGATTACCATGTTGAAATACTGGGAGTCCCATGAAGTACAATAATATATGGAGGAAAGAACGCAAACAACAGCGTGCCAATTTTTAAGATGACAATGGAGACAAATGCCCGGATTCCCGGAATTCAAATCAACAGGATGAGATGGCTTTACGACGGTAAAGAGCGCCAATGAATGAAGAACGGCCATTCTAGAGAGTCAATTGTCGCAAGCCTACCGACCAAGGCTCTTCAACGCGAAGTGATCAGAAACGGCATAGTACTAGATTCAATGCTATACACGGCTTATCTCTGGTCACCCCGGACATAAATCAAGCAGAGCCTCAACTGCAGCCAATTGGGGTGTACCCAAGCCTCCTGCAATAAGGCAATGAGATGTGGTGAGTGTGCGGGCACTCATGAGACTAGAGACTGCCCGAAGAAATCGGTGCTTTTCTGTAACTGCTGCAAGGCCCATAAATCGTAGTAGAAGAATTCGTGTCAAAGCTTCGTGGAATATAAGGCTAGCATTCAAAGTGCGAGATTTGGACTTTTAGCGCGAACGGCAGATATAAGAAGGGAAGAAATACATCGAATGATAGCAAATAAATACACGGCTAATACGTTAAACGACCAAGTGTTCACACTTGTATCCCTTCAGAAGCTAGAGAGGGTCAAGAGAAGGCCAGGACGCCCGCGCAAACAGCTACTGGTCCCAGCGCCACTAATAATATCAGTGTTACGGTTTGACCGTTGTCTGAGCTTAGGTGAATACTTAAGCGGATTGTTGGGAATATTTACAACAAGGCTGCATGGGGGGGATGGATGAAGCTGAACAAGGCGGCACTACTAGTTAGGAGGTCGAAGCGTTACTACAACTAACACCTAGCAATGCGTGGCTGGGTAGCAAGTATTGTGCCTAAGGATAAGTCATCAGTCTGGAGATTGACGAAGGGGACCAATTCTTATAAATACCTGTTAGTCGTAGCTAGAGTGCTCTTTTCTCCTCATATAGTTTAATAAATCGATTTATTCACAACCAACTCGGTTTCTGTCACAATCAGAACCATCGGGGTCGACCATAAGACTACAGGCATTACTTTTCGGCACGCGAGGCAAACGGAAGGATGCCGAGGTATACTTAAGCTAGTTCTATCTCAAACTAATGTCCAATTGCTCTTCCTATGGTAACAAAGGACTACAGATATTAAAATTCAATAGGGGGAGGAGGTTTTTAACGCAGTGGTCTCCTCATGTAAATATCTTGTTGGATTTATATCTACCTGCATGGGCCTATAGGGCGCCAAATCAGGTCAAATGAATTCAAATTCAAAATATGGGGATTCTTCCTGTATCCTAAATTCTAATCATCCCCGAAAGCCTATATTACTGATTCACGCAAAGACAATTTCATTAAGCACAGGATTGCTAGTTCCGAAAGCTGGTCTTGAAAATAACCTTGTAATTTATCTCTTTAGTTAATATTGGCTGGCCGGATATCCCGTTTGGCAACTCTGGCTCAGACCAAAGTATTCAGGCTATAATAGGAAACCAGGAAGGTATTTGATTTTGATTTCATTATCCTAATTTGGCGCCCTATGAGCCCATGCAGGTATCTATCATACTTTCTAGTTTACATGGAAGGAAACCTTTTGGTGAAAACCCCCTAAACCTTCCTGCTTAATTTCTATGTTTTTTATAATGTATCCTTTATGAAGTGCGATTACACTCTAGTGCCATCCATATAAACCAATCACATCAGCTTTATCGACTTCAAGAAAGGCATGACCTATTCCTTTCCCTCAGCGGCATTTCGACCGCCTTTGTCATCTGGAATTGCTCTATCCAACCATGATTTAGGATCCACTGTGTTATCCTTTTGATTTCTCCGGGATTGTTTAGCATAGCTTCATAGGACTGATCTTTCGCTTGTCTCCAGATCTCTCCTCTTCCACTTGACCATCGAGGGCAGGACATAATCATGTGCTTGGGTTCTGCGATTGGTAGCCACATGGACAGCTTGGACTGTAGACTCCGGAGACTTTTCTTCTAGATAAATAAGAGTTGAGCCCCATGTGCTCACTTCTTATTTGAATCGCTAGACTGCTTTAGGCCCTTGTCAGGTAATCGGGAAGGTAAGATTCTTTGGTTATTATTATCACTTGCTCACCAGCGGAGCCTTTAGTACGCATTCTTTGTAAGAATTTTAGTCTAATGTATCAGTGAGATTGAGCATGCTTGATCGGCCATCACACCCAAATCATACGGATATATGCTAATTTAGTGGAAATTTGAGTTCCCTACTTAGACATGGACGATAAAAACATTCACAGTAAAGCGCCTTAGCTATAGCTCACTACTTAGATAGTAGGATCTGACGTCTCACATCAAGAAGTTTCTATCTTCACGCGCTTATCCGAATAATAACGCGCTTATGACAATACTGAGTTGAAGTAAAACAAGGGCTTAACATACTTCAGTAGTGTCCTCTACATATTTGATTGTGAAGAATTCAATAGAGCGGACTTTCGGTCTTATTCTGGAATATGCACGACGCGATTTTACGAGACAAGAATTTAGAGTTTTCATTTATCTCAATGTTGTCATATTTTCGAAACCATTTATATCACATGTAAGCTTCAGAGTATAAGAGTATTTTCAAACACCCCAGCTCTTCGCTCCAATGTTGGTGATGGAGATAACGAGTTTTGGAATTATAGGCTCTCGATTTCGTCTAAGTTCCCGACACGATCTCGTGCGTAGTTAAGGGGTTGGAATGTATGATATGATTGTACTTCAGGCTACCTAACGGATATATGAGCGACTGTACGGCATGGGATCAAGGCGTTAACTGGAGAGTTTTTATAACTAGATGGTGCCATAATGACTTATGTTTTGGCTTGGGCTCTGTGGCGCTTAAACTTTTATATATAGCGGACATCTCCCACTCATACCGCAGTTTTCTGAAAATGACACTCTTCAAGTCAAATTCTTCATTCATTCCAGGAATTCTGCGCTCAAATCATTGCATAATATTTCCAATATTACATAAAGTTGAAATCCCAAATAAGCCACCTCAGATCTATAACTAAGACCTCAGAGGTGCTATTTTCATAGGCCATGATCCTCGTTAAACCAGCCTCCAGCCTTGGCTGACTTCCAGCTAAATTTCCAACATGATCCGCAAACTTGAAAGAGGAAAGAAATCATAGTTCACAAATAAAGTAGGATAGATCTTTGGAAAGGATGTGTATCATACCATGTCCGATTGATAAGACTAAGCAGAGGATAAACACGTTTCTGAATGAATTTTCAACTTACAAGAGCCATTCGTGCGCTATGAGCCCGTTCGGAAAAATAAAGTGCACATAAAAATCTATCTTGCCAGACGGCGAAATAATTTAGCATACATGCTATTGTCTCACGTAGATTCTGGGCAAAGTAGAAACCAATCCTATCGATGTCAGAAGACGTGTGATAGATATTTACAAAAATGGGATCAAATCGCTCACTGCATTTGTGAGGTGTTGAATACTTACTTGGACAACCGAGTTTTCAACTTTACCCTTTGGCTTACGTACATGTCTAAGACGAAGGTCAAAGCTTCTGCGGAGGGCCTGAACTGATACCAGCGAATGTGACCGATATCACAAAGTGACCATCGGCTAGCAAAACATTTTTGTCAATATATCGAAAAATAAAGCAGACTTTGCTCTTATCATGTCTCAAAAGGTGCAACAGTCCATCAACTTTAAATAATCTGGCATGAGTTGCCGCATCAAATTATGAAGCATTCTTTTTTTTACAGCAAATTCCCCGAACTACATTATAATTCCGAAAATCAGGTTCAATCCTTAAAAAGGAGTGAATAATTGTAACTTCAATTATAAAAATTGTCTTCTCTTAAGGATAGAAGTTTGAAGAAATCGGTAACGTCTTTTAGTTTTCAAAAGAGGAGTGAAAATTTGAAGCAGAATTGGACAAAGATAACAAATTGGGAGGCCTTTTAAAACTGTGTGACTGCAGAGAAGACAAGGAAATTGGCACAGTGGAAGGTGGTCAGATAGAATCAGGTGCAATAGTAATATATTCACAGAGAGTGAGACAGCCATAAACTACAAGGTAAAAAGTTTCTCCACGCGACTGATCAGCATGAGTACTATAGTTGACGTGACTCCTAAGTTTGACCTTGACTAGCTCGGCTAGTCCTTGCACCAACCAGACACACCTTGTCATTTAACATCAGATAAAGGTCATTACTCGCCTCAATGACCAGTTTATCTAGTTACTATTTATATATTGAGAGTATTCTCATAATTATTACCAATTCCAAATAAAGATCAACTATTAAAGTTGCCAATGCGAACTGCTCAAATCTTCGCTCCACATATTGTTCCAAAATTAGCTGTGCTCGCTCTGTGAAAGACAAATTTTCGATGCAAAAAATTATCATGGGCAATAGAAGGAATGAAACATTAGGGGAGTCATGCATGCCAAATTAATCATTCGTTTAGTCGCTAGTTGTGACATTTGCAAAACGGGATTATTGCCCATGGGGAACTATTCTCAACACCTGTCAGTGGTGTCCCCTACGAACCTCCAGCTCTCATTGTAGAGTCTGTAGAGCCGAGACTGAGTAACAAAGTCCTCACTTCAATGAGGATCTCCAGTCGCTTTCACCGTCTCTATCGTCTTCATTTCTCAACACAACCCCCTATCACCATTATCATGAAGCTAACCACGATCAGATCATATGGTAGGGTCGGAGCCCTACTCATCACCAACGCTTGATCATGAAGGAAAAACCTTCCGATGAGTTTCCGGAGCGTACCCAGCACCCGATACGGAGATGGCGGATTGGATCAAGATGGCCTCGAACGTTGCAAAGAAGGGAGATATAGATGAATATGCGCACTTCATGTGGTCCCGGTGTCTAGGCCTCGCCTGGCTGGGGCTGCAGGTTTCTTGAGGCTCTTTCCCGCGCACGCAGTTTCCATTGCTACCATTTTTATTTTTTTTGGGTAGAAGGTTCCGTGGGAAGGTGGCGGAATTCCACGGGTAAACACTGAGCTGAATGGCTATTCATCAAGGGGAATATATCAATGATATTTCGAGTAACAGAAGAGGATAGGAGCACTGTACATGGTGTGGCCTGTGTCAGAGAGGAGCCCAATGTGCTAGATATTCATAGACTCAAGTAGTACAATAATCATAACTCTCTCTCTCTCTCTCTCTCTCTCTCTTTCCGACAGAGGTTAATTTCAAGAAGTCTTTGACTACCTGCAGCTATCCGCATTATCCTTATGTTGGAGCTTTATTTTTGATTAAAGAGGTAGGGTAGAGTTTTATTGGTCACGATTTACGAGACAGCTGAGACTTGGATTTGTGGGTTCATTACTATTTTTTTATAATAGTTCGGGTGTTTATTCCTCCAAATTGAAACAAATGTCACCATTAATAAGTGGGCGAAATCGAAAAGGTTCGGCTAGCGGCTTTCGCCACTTTGTTCCTTCTCCCCCGCATAGTAGCACGTGCTGTTCAACAATTGCTCACCTTGGAGTCCGAGAATTAAAAGCGTAAGATTTCAATACTTTCAATTCATTATTTAGCGCTATAGTGATTGAGCTCTGCTTAATTTGAGCGAACAGTTAGTCGTTTTGAAGGCTGTTGACTGTTGAGTGTTAGGGTGCTCAAACTGCATGGAGAAGACCAGCCCGTATGTCATACTACAACACCACTCAATTTCAATCAGAGTAGAACTAATCGACAGGTAGACTCTCGGTAGGGGCAAATATAATGCAGCGTCCATTCTCGGCAGATCTCGGCAGGTACTACAAGATCTCCGCGTGCCGGATAAGCAATTCCAGGCCATTCAAAAGTTATAAGTAGTGCAAGAATACAGTAGCTACCCTCGAGGCTAGTAAATAAGAAGGAGATCCCTCTGGACTCTTCCATCGCCGGTGCTCAAGGCGTTGAGTGGCTCTATCAGAAGCATGGTGGCATCAACTTTTTCTGACTCATTCCCGTGAATGGTCTATTATAATGCGCCACCTGTAGTCGGCCGCCGAACTAGCTGCATGGTGCACTGAGCACAGAAAATTTGCAGCTGACCACCATAGGTTTCAAATCTAAGACACCAACCAGGAATTTACAGTCGTGAAAATAGGACAACCCTGAGTCCTTCCCGAGGTCATATTAGGAACTGGTGATCAACTCATCAGCAGGAGCCGGGCTGAAAGGAAGCCTCCAAAATCTCGGATTTAGTGCCGCTTGTTGCTTCCCTCTTATTACATACGAAAAATTGGCGACCTTTTAACAGCGAGTTTTCGCTGCAAAAGATAGAGCTTAACGATTTGATATTCGCCAACTCTACCCCCAGCGTATCTATTCAATATTTAGAGGTTGGGACATTCAATCAAAAATAGAGTAAACGAGCCGGAGGAGCGCAAGAAAACCCCGACCACCCACAACCCCTCCATCAAAATTGTCATGGCGGCAGCTACACTGAGCTCTCCCCACCTTACTGGATGCAAGTAGTGCCGTGTTTCTGCAGCAAGTTGACTTGAATGGGTTAGACAACGCCGCAACGATGATGTGACCCCCTACCTACTTCCTTGCTACCCGCCCTGGTCAGTCAACATGGCCACACGGGATGCTCTCAGCTTATGGCCTCTCTCTGACCATTTGACTCAAATTAAACATATATAGCAGGTCTATCATCTCACAGATAACAAAAAATATAGAGCCAACACTTACTGGAATTTAAGGCCCAGCTGAGCAGTTCATCGTCTCATCCCAGTCTTACTTCCCTCACTTTCCAACGAGAAACTAGATGCGTGAGATTGTTTCATATCAGTCTATCATTCACCAACTCTCTATTGATTTCGGAAGTGGCCACTCTTTCATCTTCTCTATCCTAGACCAAAGCTGTCTATCTCACGAAAATGACATCGATAACTACGGCCCGTTATGGCAAAGAAAACGTCCGTGTCTGTAAAGTTGAAAGAGATAAGCGAACCGGAGTACACACGGTTACCGAGATGACTGTTACAGTCCTATTAGAAGGAGCCATTGAATCTTCGTATGCTGCTTAACTCCCTGTCTACTTTCGTTGACTCAAGCTACATGCTTCTAGTTATACCAAAGCCGATAACTCTGTGATCATTGCTACCGATAGTATCAAGAACACCGTATACATAAAGACCAAGGAAAATCCCGTCACTCCGCCAGAACGCTACGCTGCAGTTCTAGGCTCTCACTTTATAGAAACCTATTCACACATCACGACCGCGAAAGTTGACATTATTAGTGACCACTGGACTCGAATGGAGGTTTCGGGGCAGTCCCATCCTCACGCCTTCGTGAGGAAAGGGGCCGAGCGGCGGCTGGTGCAAACGGAAGTCGGGACAGGCAAGATTGTGGTGCGCAGTGGGCTCTATGATCTCGCTCTCCTAAAAAGCACCGGCTCACAGTTCAATGGCTTCATACGAGACGAGTATACGGTTCTACCTGACGTCTGGGATCGCATCCTCTCCACCAAAGTCCATTGCCTCTGGACTTGGGAATTGTTTGCCAGCCTCGGTGCTGTCCACGCCGCAGCGCCCAAGTTTGACGAGGCTCTCACCAACGCCCGAGAAATCACCATGAAGGTCTTTGCTGAGGAGGAGAGCGCGTCGGTCCAAAATACCATGTACAAAATGTGTACTCAACTCTTGCATGCCATTCCCGACGTCCAGGTCGTAGAGTATAAACTGCCTAATATGCACTACCATCCCATCGGTAGGCTCAAGACCTGGCCCCCATCCATACCTTCGCTAATGCAACGCTAGACTTGAGTTGGTTCCATGGCATGCAGAATCTGGATCAGCATGCCGAAGTCTACTTGCCCCAATCGAGTCCCAACGGCCTTATCGAGTTAAAAGTCTCAAGGGCGAATATTTTGTGATCCAGGCCTTGGTCGTAGTGATAATTGACCGATGAATATCCATGAAGTAATTCTTGACGTGACTAACATATAATAAATTCTATGTACACTTATTAAAATTCTAAAATCATCATTGATTCTTAAGTACGCTCGGAATTGAGCGCCTAGCCCTCTTCAACATACCTTTGTGGGCTAAGGTGGGCTCCTCTTAATAAATCTTAAGCTGGGTTCAATCATTTTACTATACTACAACTAGTGATCATGTGTTGTCAATCTTCATCAAAATTACAGAGGGTTTGGTGTTTGCAGATTTATACTTATTTCCATTTTATTTGCAATCTTTTCTCGCATGTACAACCACATGCGTATAAATTTATACATAATACTGAGCAGGTTATGCCAAGTGATTAATCTTGGTTCATTTTAACGCCGAAAAGCACGTACAGGCAGCCCAATTAAACGTCCCCTTTACAAAAATGACTAACGTAATATTATCATTGCTCAGGCTCTTACAGCTGCCCCGAGTGCTCCACCCGTGAACTGAGTTCCCCCAGCTTGTCGTGGCATATTCGATCCCCCACCGGCTCCCCCAGCGCCACCACGACCGCCGCCCCGGCCTCCCCGCTGCCCGCCACGGTTAACACCACGCCCTCCTCGGCCACCCTGTCGCTCAAATGCGTTGGCTGTACCTTGTGTTCTAGTTTCGAGAGTCCTTTCATTACTTTCGATAAGTCCACTTGCTTTATCAGCAAGGGTCAATGCTAAGCTCTGGAGCCTGCTAAGCTCAACACCCTTTCGTAAGGTTATGGAAGAGCTAACTTGATCTAGAGCAGCGGCAAGCTCTTCATGACTTATCATCCGACTGACGATGGCGGCTACCTTTCGTTCTGAGAGCTCGAACATAGTTGCTAGAGTGCTCACGGAAAGCGTATCGTAGAATGGGGCATAAGTAAATAGGTACGTTCGAAGACCCTCTTCTTGAATTTGTTCCGAGAGCATTATCTTGATAGATTCTGAGTTCGCTATTAGTTCCCAAATCTTTATCGAATGAATAAATTCGGTCGACTTCTTCCATTCACCAGCTGCCAATGCTTTAGAAGCTTGCATCACATGGTCTCGTGTATTTTCTGGAGGACCGGTAAATATTTGACGCTCATGGTATTCGAGCATGCGTCGATAAGTTTTACTGATAACTCTTTTTTTAACGTCAGGTGATGATCCAGTTTGTGCAAGCAGTGGAATCTCGAGTAACATGCTACAAGTAAGGTAAACGCATTCCAGTAGTTCCAAATTTATGTGCATGTGAAAGGGTAGCTGTCGCTGACGTTCAAGACGTTCTTGTTCGGGTGAAACTTGGTTGTATCTCTGGATCATAACCCCTTGAGCTAGTAACTCTTTTTGTCGACCACTACCACATATTTCCTGGAGTGTTGTCTGAGCGTCATATACAAGGCCAGCTCGGAATGCACAAAGTCCAACCTGAACAAGTGTGCGATTGAATAGAATTTGGCTATGAACATCAAAACCATTGATGCTCTCTTGTAGATGAGACATGAGCATCATATCACGAGCCTTGTAATAATTGTCGTGCAGGGCCAAGAAATAGATCTGACAAAGCATGGCTCGAGCACGATGAATACTTTCGCTGGTTGTGAAAAGAAAGTTACAAAGAAGGTTGACAAGAGTTGTTGCATCGATAATGGTATCCCTGGGTGTGATTTTGGAGTCGAGACCTACGGGTATATTTTTCCAGCAATTTTCTTCCAGTATTTTCACGACAGTAGAGGGCTACCTAGTTATTAACAGTCAACTTATCAGTGGAATTGAGTAGCTCACCTTGAAGTAGACGTGTTCAAGTCTCCTCATTACTATTCGATTAAGACTATCTTGGGTTATAGGAGATTTCTCGTCAACCCCGAGACTTTCCACATATATTAAAGCTCGAACAATGTTATTGTACAGAAAGCTCTCATCTGATAGGCGCTCGATGTATTCCGAAGTGTGGGGGTCGATTTGCTGTAGTGATCTGGTGAGTTCATCATCGAGTCTCTCTACGTAAGCGACTATACTTCCGGGGATCTTGAATTTTTCTCCTTCTTTTAAGACGGGCTGCTTATCGTCATCATCCCACTCCTCAGCATCATCAACGACAATAAGCCCTCGATTTTCTTCAAGCACTTCAATGAGTTTCGCAAATTCTTGTTCAGCAGCCTTCCATTGTTCCTGAGGCATAAAATTTTGTATGCCAGATGTGAGATCAAATCGCGTCGAGATAAGAGTTAGTAATACTCGGATACGTTGATACGGAGTGGTGGCAACGTCATAGAGTTTTTCCATTATCTTTATTTGTTCAGTCCGATCGGTGTTCTTTTTTCCCCTAGACTCCAAGATGGTCCTGAGATGCTTCAGGATACTCTCTGATGTAAATTGTAGAGTGCGTCCTCCTTTACCGACCGTTGAGAACCCCTCATCATCATCATCGAATTCAGCTATTGGAACGCCAGATGTAGATTTGGATTTTTTAACCCTTGGAGCAAGAACTTCTTCCTCATCTGATTCCATATATCCTTCCTTATCAGCTTTGTAGGCGTCAATTTCTTTTTGAAATTCTTTAAGTATCTTTTTTATTCGCTGTTTTACAGCATTCAATCCTCTAGCGTTTGTGGCGGTCATTTTTCGTACTGTGACTTTTTGTTTTGCTATGGCCTCGTTCATGAAATCTTCTAGTTCAGACAAGGCCTTGATATATTGCTTAGGAGCAATCTCTGACTGAACAAGTTTTGCGACCTGCCTATTCAGCTTATCGAACTCTAATTGAGTTAGCTGAGTATACTATAGCTCATATACTTTTGCAGCTTACCCGTAGAAATTGCCCCCCAGTCGTTAATTTTCTGGCCATTTTCAATAGCTTTGATAGTAGTTTCAAGCTCTTCCTGTCTCTTATCTTTGGCACTTTTCACGACTTTAGCTCGTTCCTCATCGCTACTTTCTTCGCTCTCAGAGTCTGCATCTCTCATGAATCGATTTGCACCACTTTTTTTAACTCCATCGTCGTCCTCGCTTGATGAGTCGTTGTCGTCATTGGAAGAGTCTTCAGCTTCGGAGTCTGATTTCTCTTCCTCCTCAGAGTAGAGCTCCTCTTCATCAGAAGAGCTGCTCTCACTAGAGCTGTCGCCATGGAAAAATCGAGACATTTTATGTGACTCGAAATTTAGATACTAACTGATAATGAGTCCAATGAGTGGTAGGACACGACTTAATCGACGGCTCGGATAGATGTGAAATGAAGTGTCAGTAATTTTTGAGGTTGGTGGGCTAAGCGAGACACTAAGTAGAGTTCCCATATTACAGCAGAAGGATTGTGCCCTGGATGGAAAGCATCCTAGATAATCACAGCCTTGGACAAGCCCGCAGGTCATGTTTAATTCAGTTTTCAATTCAATTCGTCAGTGTGTGAAAAATTATGAAGAGACTTTCACAGCTACTTGTGCGACTCTCACTCAAATGTTTGTTCTATGGTTTTTATTACTCCATTTCATTTCATGGCTGTTGAGGGTCGTCTCCATAGGGGCTTTGAAGTTTGCTAGATTAAATTCTAGTATATCTAGGTGGAATTATAGCAATAGAATAACTTTATTTGAATTATCAGTTTGCGACCAATTAAGCTCAGACAACACAAAACGGGAGCATCTTTTGTTATCATTGATGCATGGCAAGGGTGCGTTGTTGTAGGAGTCATCAGAATAAAGCAAGTCTACAACCAAGCCGTATATCACTCACAAGCCCCTGGTTTTAATGTAAACGATTTCGAAAATGACCATCCTACTGGAGGATATTCATAAATCACAAATTACAGATATAGAATTAGCTAGGTGCAGCGAAGGAATTAGAGATTTTAGTATCCCTCTCTCCTCTATCAATTCACGATAGATTTGCTATCAACGTTAAATATTGCTTTGGGATAACTACTGACTGCATCAGTAATAGATTAAATTCAAATTCTAGATTCAGCTTTGTAATCATTCCCAATTTATGGACTAATTATACTAGGATAACGCCAAGTGAAAATTATCGTACAATAATTATCTCATGACACAGCTCAAGTTTTGATATTTTAGACAATTGTTAGGTTAAAGGCGATGAAATTACGTGTGAGATTTACAAATAATTTTGAATTAGAAAATAAATCAATACTATATCTTTTCACAAGTACGTTACAAATGATTAGCTTAAATCGTGTGGTTATTGTCTGAAAAATGACTTAAATAATACCCTAGGGTTGTAGTTATTAGCTGAGAGATGTGTAACATTTGGATATCTCTGCTGTCCTCAAGTGGAAAGGTACAGGCTCATGTGCAATGATGAGGCGCGGAGACGGCACGCTCGCGGTGGGTTAATAGCACCATGGTTACTGAGTGCGAATCACTTTGACTAATTGGTGTCAGTAGATATAAAATACGCACTAGTACTGACAACGACTGTCCATGATGAGATACTTGATTCGCACTCCAAAGATTGATAATATCATCTATTTATTTGTGTGAAGTATCATACTATTAGGATAGATGGAAGGTTAATTTCAGCAGACGAAGAGATTGTAATCTTTATGAACAGCGCCTGTGTACCAGCCTACAATTTCCATTCTTTAGTACCATAAACGCCCGTCCTTTTGTGTGGTAGATAGTCTAAGAATCAATTCGTACAATTAATATTTCTCTCTTGCTTGTCTCCCTTTCCCCTGTCTCCAAATAACTCTACAAATCAAGCATAACACGTAACACTTAATCGAATCCTCACGACTCGCATATCAGATTTCCACTTTTATGGTCGGAAAATACAAGTTCAAGACGAAATAATTTTATTATGATTAGTGTCGCAACACTATTTTGGGATGTGCATGGGTCAGGAGAGAGATCACAATATGTTGATAGTTAGTCACGTGGATTGGTGCAGCTGGGCGTGTCGCCCTTAAGGCTGACACGCCTGTATCCAAGAAGTAGAAGAAGATTCATCACATTAGAGAGAGACCCATTGCGTACGCGTACACGTGTATATTACCGACCGACAATTAGAAAACTATAAGAAAACTGTGAAACACGTAAGTTGAATCTCGAGTCACCAATCATCCAATTTAACGATGCATTTTGGGTTTGGTGTTAGAGAAATCATGTTGGGGAATCCCCTGTAACTGTGCATCGCTGATTTGATTTTATTTGGCCCATTCAGTTTTATCTAGCCATAATATTTATAAGGGAGGAAACAAATTCGGTGTGTATGTGTTTAGTATCCTATAAAGTCTATAGCTATATAATGACATATAGGTCCTTTCTGCCTACAGGCCGGGAGTATCTATGCCTCATTCACAACTTTTTTCTAGCAGTAACACCCCCACGGGTCTTCATTTGAGTACACACTAATAGGAACCATTATCCCATCATTATCTACCCTCTCCAGCCAACTAAACGATGGTCATTTGTGGGTATGTAGCTGCAGGGAGAAGTCTCAAAAACCACTGGGTGCGGGGCTCTCCTATGACGAAGAGGCCGGCCAGCCGGGCGCAGCAGACCTGTGTATACCTAACAGCGTCTCTCAATCTTCCTAGCCTCCTCCTTCCTCTTTCCCTGATTCATGCCGCTGGACAAAGCGAAGGTCGTGAAAGGATGTCAGAAAAGTCTTGGTCGAGAGTGACTGTCGTGAAGGAACCTAGCCTGGCACCCAAAAGTCGTTACGGACGTGGGGTTGTCGAGTAACTCATGTATTTCAGATGCCCTCCTGGCTAGTAGATTCGGAGGTATAGATTAGTCGCGACGATATTTTTGACGAGTCGAAATCTGCTTTGCTTGAGGGCGGAAGGGTCTTTTACTTTGCTTTCGTAGGCTTTTTGTTCGCCCGCCGATGGGTGGCACATGTTGTGATATAACGAGGGCTTGTGTGTTTTTTTATTGTACTACTTGAGTCTATGACTATCTAGCATATTGGGCTCCTCTCTGACACAGGCCACACCTTGTACAGTGCTCTTTGCCCCTTTTGTTAGTTGTAAGATCATTGATATATTCCCCTTGATGAATAGCCATTCAGCTCAGTGTTTACCCGTGGAATTCCGCCACCTTCCCACGGAACCTTCTACCCAAAAAAAATAAAAATGGTAGCAATGGAAACTGCGTGCGCGGGAAAGAGCCTCAAGAAACCTGCAGCCCCAGCCAGGCGAGGCCTAGACACCGGGACCACATGAAGTGCGCATATTCATCTATATCTCCCTTCTTTGCAACGTTCGAGGCCATCTTGATCCAATCCGCCATCTCCGTATCGGATGCTGGGTACGCTCCGGAAACTCATCGGACGGCTTTTCCTCCGTGATCAAGGTTTGGTGATGAGTAGGGCTCCGACCCTACCATCTGATCTGATCGTGGTTAGCTTCATGATAATGGTGATAGGGGGTTGTGTTGAGAAATGAAGACGATAGAGACGGTGAAAGCGACTGGAGATCCTCATTGAAGTGAGGACTTTGTTACTCAGTCTCAGCTCTACAGACTCTACAATGAGAGCTGGAGGTTCGTAGGGGACACCACTGACAGGTGTCGAGAATAGTCCCCATGTTTTCCGAGGTTTCCTACAGGAAGTGCGTCTACACTGTTTATACAGTATGAAATCTGTCCCATCTTTGTTCACATCTTCTCGTATTCTCGTCGAATGTATTTTCTACTTCTCCTGCAAGCCGGAGTGGTTCAAACCAGCCTTTTGCCAGGATCCATTTTGTAATTCTCTCCATATCATCTGGGCTGTTCATCAATGTCGCAAATGATCTATCTTTTGCCTTTCGAAGCACCTCTCCTCTTCCCATTGCTCACTGAGGACACGCCAAGACCATATGTTTGGCAGTTTGAGACGGATATCCACACTGGCATTTTGGATTATTCACTTCGGGGACTCTCTTTCCACACAGATAAGAATTGAGACCAATGTGCTCACTTCTTATCTGAATTGCAATATTGCTTTGGGCCCTACTAAGTTTCCTGTTTAACTACAATATTAATATCTATAGTCCACTATGAGTACGTAACTGGTTGAGTTGGCAGGAACCCACGCTCATATGGCCATCTTATTTGTACTACATGACCTCACACTGAAAGCAACGAAGTAAATAACATTTTATTAAGTCGCCTCCTAATATTAGAAGATTTATTCGTGCCAGATGCAAGTCAATCGTTCCTTACGCATCCTATTTCCATCATTTCTTTAGGACGACAAATCGCTCGTTCTCGGCTCGGAGTAGAAGTTGAGTATACAGGTATTTTTTGAAGTAGTTAGTCTCCTCTTACGACTAGGAAAAAGCCATTCTTAACTACTTCGGACGCCATTCGCTCCAAATGATTGCTCCTAGGCAGTCAAGGCCTTAAAGCAATGAACAATGGAAATTATCATATCTTGAGAGGCTGTCGATATGCTGTTTCAGTAATACTCGTAGCAACTTTTTTTCTTTTGTATCAGATTTAGATTTCGTATGCGGCTATCTGGCAATGACTCAATTTTAAAGAAAAGTACATAACAGATGACTCAATGTAAAGGAAGAGCACCTATATCTCGGATTTTATATGCAAGTACCACTGCGAAGATATGGCGGCTTGTACTTCATCCCAAGTCAACCCTCATCCGTGAATATCCACCTGGGGAAACGTCTCAAAAACCATGAGTTATCCAGACATGCCTCCATCATCCATTAACATATCTCCGCGCGAAACGTGATCTGAGGCTTCTCCTTCCCAAATGGAGTAGGTGCCTGGGCTACTCAATCTATATCGGAGAACACCACAAGAAGAAAGACGGCGGCAAATTCTATCGTTGGCTTATGATTATAGTGTCAGCTGCATTCTAGCAATCGAAGGCTTGGCGCGGACAATGCTCCTCGATTTTTAAATCTCATCAAAATTCGAAATTTCACACCCATCGAGATAGAATCCATCCTCCGCACCATATTATAAACTTATCCTTACTTCTCTCACCTGCTTCCGAAAGAACTACCTTCCATGTTTGTGCGCCACGATTTTTTTCATCCTGCGGATAATCATGTTAATGAAGGCGCTAAATTAGCAGCCAGCCGAGGGCAGAAGATAGTCTATGATGGGTGTAACTATTGAAATGAGAATGAATTAAGTCGTGCTTTTAAACTTGATGTAGCTTATGTTAGGAATTAATCTCGCTGGCTGTGAGAGTTTGGATCGGTGGATGGTCTTGAATCATTGCCTCGTGGGCGAACTTCTATAGTAATGCGAAATTTTACTGATCTTGGCTCTGGGAGAATATTTCACTCCCATGTTCGTAGAGAACACTGCGGTTAGTTGTTCATTCTTTGTCCTCCGACAAGAAAAGTCGCAACTTACCAAAAATAATCGAAATTCTGGTTAAGCCAAAGGAGAATCCGGCAGTCTCGACAACTTCCCATTGCAGATCCCGAAACCTAGAGAGCAATTAAGTTATACCGAAGCCGAGAGTTCGACCGATAGAAAATAAGCCTCAAGAAACCAGCGTTTTCTCTTCAATATGCACCTCATGGGGTCCCAGTGTTTAAGCCTCGCCTGGCCGGGGCAGCAGTTTTTTGAAACTTTCTTCAGCGCATGCAGTTTCCATTGTTACCTTTTTTTTGGGGTAGAAGGTTCCGCGAGAAGTGGCTCAATTCCACGGGTTTACTGAGCTGAATGGCTATTCATCAGGGGCAATATATCAATTAATTATGAAGTAACAAAAAAGGTAAGGAACACTGTCCAATGTGTGGCCTGTGCTAGAGAGCAGCTCAATGTGCTACATAGTTATATACTCAAGTAGCACAATAGGCCCACACACTCATGTACATGAGATGGCCTATAGTTTGACATAGTATTCCTAATTTTGAGGCGTGTTCGTGCTTACACCCAATACTACAAATTGTAGTGGTATCTATAAAAAGAAAATCATGATCCCAGCCATAAACCTAGCCTCACACCTACATGTCGCCTGAGTTAATCGTCATGTCTCATATATATGTCTTTTGGCGCTGAGGAGTCATGTGCCCATTCCTCGACCCTTAAACCCAATTCACACTCTTAGGTAAAAAACTCCAATTCCATCAAAGGAAAACAAAAAAGGAACAAGATAGAGCCAGGGAATACCAAGATCAATAGGTGTTTGTATTTGAGTGGCGATAGACAATCAAGAAGAGCGTTTCTCAAATTTTCGATAAAGTTGATGGATATCATGTAAGAGGCCATATGAATGATCTTCTGGAAAGTTGATATTCACCTTTCCAGAAGACTTACTATTTCTGTCGCCAGGACCTGATAAGTTAAGAGCTTCGAGGTAGAATCATTCCCGTAAAATTTAACGTCCAGCCCTCTCTCTATAACACATATCATACGTATGTAAATACGATTCCAAAAAGTTCTCAGGATATCATCAGCTGTCGACCAGACAATACTGGTTTTAAAGGCTGTAAGTTTTGCTTCCTGAGCAATCTTCTATAGATGATAGTTATCCAGAGTTTTTTGGTATGAGAAGGATGATGATTAGTCAGCCAACAAGAATTAACAAGACTAGAAGCATAAAACTACTTTTCTTCCCAACCCCAAACAGTGGCTAGAAAGTGTGCCATGTGCACCCGTTTTGATTGCATTTCGATCATCCAGGGATGCTCGAGCATGCGCCATGGTGATGCTCGACGAGAAGGGGTTTTCTCAAGACTTTTACTTGTCAGTGAGGGTAAAATCTCTCATGGAAAGACGAATTCTTACCAGCATTCTATGAAATACTTGAAGTTATCACTCCACTTTATCCCAGCTTCAGGTTCATCCTTAAGTTTTGGAACTGGCTGCCGTACTATATAAGTCAGTAGATCAATAAGACCTGCTCTTGGTTGCACTTCAGTTCCGTCGGCTGGAAATGGGAACCGATGTTGTGCTACTTCGAGGAGTGTTACACCTGTCGACCAGACATCAGATGTAATCGTGTAGGATTGTCCAGTGATACGCTCGGGTGCCATATAGTACGAAGTACCAATGAAGGTATTGGCATCTCCCTTAGTACCAAACTCGCCGCTCACGCCAAAGTCACAAAGTTTTACTTGCCCATCTCGACATAGAAGAATATTGCTAGGTTTTATGTCGCGATGAATGATCTTTTTGCCATGGAGGTAGGTTAGTCCATTCAGAACACCTTCTGCAATTTTCCCGAGAACCTTTTCTCCAGTACGTCCACCGAGCTTCCGGACTTCGCGGTATATACTGTCGAGAGAGCCCCCTTCGCAAAACTCCATGGCGATAGAAATTGTAGCTGTCGAAGGCTCGACAAATGCGCCATAATATCTGCAGATATGCTCATTCGCGCAATCTTTGTTGAATCCTAGTTCCCTAACAATTTGCTTCTTAACATCGGGATCTGGATTTGTAGTGATGATCTAAACTTAATTAGCCAGAATAAATGCAAATGACTTACGAACCTTTAGCGCAAATATCGTCTTGCCCCCTCTTAAAATACATTTGGTGACGGCTCCGCCAGCTCCCTCCCCTAAACTGCTCAACTCTTGAATCCTATTTTCTGTACTTGCTATTCGCCATCCTTCATCATCCAGCTCTTCTACATCTAGTGTCCTCGCTCGCTCTAAACTTAGCCTGGCGAACGAGTCGAGCTCGTTTAAACTACCATCACGATCGACTCCCAATCCTATTTCGCTCCTTTCGGGATATATAGAACCGACAGCAGATGAAGGATCCGGGGTGCCTTGAAGATGACGGAGACCATTTTGAGCAAATGATAGTGCCGAGTATTGAGATCCAGCAGATACGGGTACACTACCTCTTCCATCTAATAGCCCAAAGCTTCCAGATCTAGAGTGTGCTTCACTACTTTCACTCCCGCCACCGGCTGACTGAATATTTGTTATTGAGATCCCATGTCGATCTACCAGATGATGTGTTTGTTGTTGTTCCAAAGGTGTGTGACTGGATTTTTTTGGGGTAGAAATTTTTAATTGAGGTTGAGATGGTCTTGCCCTAGGAGTGGATTGGCCCGGCATTTGAATTGATAGATTTTGCGGCTTAAGAGGAGCATTGACAGTTTTTGCATTCGGGGAAGGTGGTATTGCAAGTCCTAGCCTTGGTGTTCTAGGACTACTGATTGCTTGTCTACTTCCAGGAATTGGAGGTCGTATTAATGGTGCATGAGACGACATTTTAGGCTGAGCTACTTCGACAGAACTGGAAAGAGTAATCTGAGATTCATATCAATATCAGCCTAGGTTCTGCCTTAGCTTGGCAGACATGCCGATGACAAAGTTATTGCTCAGAGCAATCTGAGAGTTTCTTACATGCCGGGTTGTAGAATTATGACTTTCGGCCGTTGAGACTGTCCTTACGGCAGCGTCCTGCCTACCGAAGTTATGCTCTTGCATCTGCGTGTCGTTAAGGCAGCAGCTACTGGGTAATTATTTTGAATTGTGAGATCTGTATAGGAGTTATCATATGCTGATCACTACCCGTCCAATGGAGGGGTTTAATGTAGCTTCTGTTGTCGCTGCTGCTGCTAGGCCTTCCAAGGTGACTTAGTCAAGAAACTTCAGGGGCATAAATTGGCAGGGATGTCTTCAGTACAATCAGTTTACGAAGTGTTTCGACATGCACGAAAATCGTCTGGGTTTTAGGTCTTGAAATCTGCGTTATATCGATGTTATCACCACTCTGAAGCTAACACGACGAGTTTCTCACCGCGCCTTGCAACAAATATTGAGACGAGTCGCCTAGTTCATGTCAAACAATTTTGCTATGCGATGAAAGCTGCCTTGGGCGCTGCGCCCCGGCCAAGTTAATGCTTGGGTCACCGAATGGGGAAAGCGGGAAGTTATCCCGACTAACGTGACCCGAGATTTTGTGGGGGACGGGCCACTAGTCATCGTTGGAAAGAAAATTGGCAAAACATAAAAGTGACGTTCAATTACACAGACTTATTGAAATAAAACCCACTGCTTAGTTTGCGGAATATTTTGGTAGAAGAAAGCTTATGAAATCATGAATGATGAAAGGATATCAATTCGATTACTCTTCTAAACACAGGTACCAGACTCGTTTTCATCCTAATAGACAGCCCGCGCTAGATCTTCTATTAACAGTAATAAACAACGCTAGCACAGGGTAACCGCAATCTCCGCTCGCCAAACACCGATCGATCGGGACTACTGCTTATCAAGCCTAGTAAGATTGACAAAGTGTATCCCAAAGCAGAAATAATGTAAAAACCCAACAGTAATTCCTCTCATCTACAATTCCCATTAAACATCGCCTGTCTTATCTCTGTACTCTATATTTTCAACAAAACCGGCCCGAAAATGTCTGTTCCAAAGAAAAAGACTAAATCGGCGTTTATCGCTGACGAAAATCTCTGCCAAAATCTTCCTGATACAGATTTATCTTGCACAACCTCATGCTCTTCGGATTCAGAGTCCCACACCAGTCATAAATCCTACAAAAGAATAAAGAAAACCACTTCGGGAGAAAATTTATCCCGAGTCTTTTTAAGTTCGGCACCTTCAAGATACGCGAGAATCACTTCGCGAAAATCGGACCCTGCTAAAGTAGAACCTTCTGCAAAAAATCTGCCTGCAACTGATCATGTCACAACTTTTGAATCACTAGGAGTGAAGCCATGGATAGTCACATCCCTTAGTTCTATGGCCATCAGTCGACCAACAAGTATTCAGAAAGGTTGTATACCTGAAATCCTTAAAGGAAAAGATTGCATAGGTGGTAGTCGTACAGGCTCAGGCAAAACTGTAGCCTTTGCTGTTCCGATTTTACAGAAATGGGCGGAGGATGTTTTCGGAACATTTGCTTTGATCTTAACTCCAACCAGGTCAAGTCTATGGCTTTGCACCGCTACATCAAGATCTCAACTAATATTACTTTAGAGAACTCGCACTCCAAATTTTCGAGCAGTTCAAAGTACTTTCATGTCCTCAGCAACTAAAAGCTGTACTAATTACCGGCGGCTCTGACATGCGAACACAAGCAACCAGCCTAATGCAAAGACCACACATAGTGATCGCAACTCCTGGTCGCTTGGCAGATCATATCCGGACATCGGGTGAAGATTCTACTTGTTCCTTACGACGGGTACGAGTTGTTGTACTAGACGAAGCAGATAGACTGCTGGCAAGCGGAAAATTTGGAAGCATGTTACCAGATGTTGAGGAATGTCTATCAATTCTTCCTCCTCCATCACATCGCCAGACTCTTCTGTTCACTGCAACTATCACACCGGAGGTTAGCGCGTTAAAAAAGCACCCTCGCGCGCCAGGTAAACCTGAGCTATTTGTCTGCGAGGTTGACTCTCAATCTTTAGCTATTCCACCAAACCTAACGCAGATGTACATACTTGTTCCGGTCACTCATCGGGAGCATTATTTACACTCTTTGCTCTTAACGGATCAAAATATCACAAAATCAATTATAATTTTTTGTAATAGAACAGCCACAGCTGATTTTATAACGCATCTACTTCGACTTTTAGAACATCGTGTCACTGCTCTTCATTCAAAGTTGCCGCAGCGCCAAAGGATTGATAACCTTGCTCGCTTTCGAGCTTCTGCCGCAAGAATTCTTGTTGCCACTGACGTCGCGGGTAGAGGACTTGACATACCTGAGGTAGGGCTCGTCATTAACTACGATATTCCGAGGGACCCTGATGATTATATCCATCGAGTCGGACGTACCGCTAGAGCGGGAAGAAAGGGTGATTCAATCACATTTGTGGGCCAAAGAGATGTAAATCTCGTCCAGGCGATCGAAGCCCGAGTCGGAAGGCCACTAGAAATTTGGACAGAAGAAGGAGTAAACCTCGAAACCCGAGTTGTACGCGAATATTTGAAGCAAGTCAGCGAAAAGAAGCGCGAAGCTCTGCTTGAAATAGAAGAGGGAAGAGAGGTGGGAGGTAAGCGTAAAAGAGTCTTCAAAAAAGTACAGAACTAGATCTGACCCCAGTATCTGCAAATTCATTCAGCCATAAGTCTTGAAAATCTCTCTTCTTATGATAAGATAAATTTAAGTTTTCAATTATCCTGATTTAAGGCCTTGAGAGCCAATACAGGTAAGTTCGAAGGTTTTGTATTTTATGTAGAATAACTTATCTCGACTTTTGCAGCACTTACACCCAGGTTTCATTTGCAGATACCACTCGAAATTGTCCCTTGAGACATGTAACATCTTCCGTGCTTACCCACCACAGTGAAAAGTGTGATAACCTCATGGTTATCCAAGCGTGCTCTTATCACGCAACAAATACAATATCACCGCGATAGAGTGTGGTATGTGTGCCTCACTGAATTCGAATCAGTTTTCTCCTGTCTCATTTGGCGTAGGTTTTAAAGCTACCCAGAATACAATTGGATAAAATCTCGGATGGTGTACCACCGCACCACCCAACCTGAAATATATACTTTGGAGTAAAGGAGGATCTCAAGTGCTCGGGTGCTTGGTAGCCAAAGTTGAGGAGAAATTCGCGCTACGGCGAGTATATGCCAGGTTTCTGAACGTTCGGGCTTGGTATGATTCAACACATATCAAAAGTCTGAGGTAGTTCGATCATTTTGGTGGGACGAGGTCTAAATAACTTTTATGGTAGTTAAACTCATCTAGCCCGGCCCTACTCAACATCAAGCTCCCACAGGAATACGGAGGGTGCCAATTGCCTAGCACGTCAATAAACAGACAGGAAATAAATCAATACTGTTCATTTATTCATTTCTCTAGTTTAACGTCCTATCCGGTATCTACACACAGATCCATGAAGACGGTAAGCCGCTTTGATAAGGGAAAAGGCTTTCAACAAACAAAACCCGATATCCTGCCCCTTTGAACCGACCCAGCTTAATGCTGAGGACGTTCCTTCAACCACAAATTAATCAACTTTCCCCGAAATTTGTAAACTCTCCCTACGATCAGACTAACGTTGTGAAAATTTAAAAAAAGATGGAGGCACCTTCTCGCTCGGCGTTGGTCTTCGAAGTGTTCGAAGGGTTGGCCCCGATGGTGGTGCTGTTGTAGTGGAGTTTGTTGGTGCCACTAGGGCTTCGACTACCTTACGTGGTTGTCACGGCCCTCTTTTGAGTCCTTCAGCCTTCTTACTGGTGACCAAAGTGAATCCCTTATCATCAGTTGGTCTGACCGTCCGTGTTGGCGACATTGATGGTTTTACGTTCCATGTTTCCGCCGTTCTTGACATCAGCTTCTTCCGAGCCTTCCCCACTCTTCCTTTGTAGAACTGGTAGCTCCGACACGCTGCTTTCTGCCATGAACGGTGTTCCTTGCCGCAGTTCGCACATGAAACCCTAATCTATACTGTTGCTCCATCAGATAACTTCAAAGAAAACTACCCAAAGATACTGTAACGTATTAAAACATTACTTTTTATCTCCACAAAAAAATACAGAAACAAAAGACCATTGAAAGACCGTCTCATAAAGCGTGCATAGATTTCTACTCCAATCAATTACATCCAGGGTCAAGCTACCGCACAATACCAGATAAAAATTGGAAAGAGAACTCGTTAATATCTGATTTGGCAGAATGGGCAACGCACGAAAAAGATGTAGTGCTAAGTTGATTAGGGAAACGTTGCATACCGAATACCATTGTATAGCAGTTAGTTCCTCAGCAGCATTCTCGTCCTTAAATTGTAATGGTTTCCATATAGAAAGCTTAGGCATTTATGTGTCAAGGTAACTTAATTATTAACTAGAGAACAAAAATAGTCCGGCGTAGAATACATTTATTAAATGCACGACCCCTCTATTCCAAAGATTATTATTTGTTCTCCCGACGAGCTCCCACTATTTATTTATTCTTTATGACTAGCGGGCACTATAGTCTCTCTGAGATAAAAAGAGTACAACTTTAAACTGTGTTGTTTATGGGATTAACTCTGCAGGTGTAGTTAGGCCAACTAGTAATATGTTAGACTGTCTCTCCTCATTACCCCGCTTGCCATGATGTGTGGTCCAGTTGTCTTTTTCAAACAATCGGTTAAAGAAACATGTTTTCAGCAACACCTTTGACTGCCTAACCAACAAAGTCCTTCAGCTAGCAAAGACGAATTCTTCACCTTCCAGTAGTGCCGGGGTAATCAATCAGTATACTCTAAATATCTGGGATAGCCAAGAAGAATGGCATCCGAATCGAAGTCGAAAGCACACACATGCATATCTCTATTTGACGACTTCTCAATCATGCAGCATTCACCATTATCTCCTGAGTCCTCAAGCTCTTGCTAACCACATATCATCTCACCTCAACGACCGATAAAGGCGTCACCCCGATTGCAACAGAAATTTGCCTCATTCATTACCGGCTATCTCTCACTACAAATTTAAAACGCTACGTATACCCGTAAGGAGGAAATTAAGTCATACTCTACAAATTTGGGGTCTTGGTTTATGTGGGACTGATGCTCTAATGGAGTAATAAATATTGAGCAAATATAGACGGCTGAGATGTGGAGCGAGAATGGGAAGAGGTCTCTGAAAACTATTCTTGGACTGACATTTTCGAGGGGTTTTCAACTAAGGACCGTTTGTGTGCGCCAACACCATGATTTCGGAAAATTAGCCAGAACTCCTATTCTCGATGAATCAACGGCACTTCCCAGAGCCTTGGGCGGCGCAAAAGAAGTTGGGCTAAGTTACCATACAGAAATCACGCTCTGTCAAGACTTTTCTGACATTTTAGCACGACCTTTGGGAAGAAGTTGGAAGGAGGCTAGAAAGGCAGAGTGTGAATTCTCCGAGGTACCCACAAGTCTGCAGCGCCCAGCTGGCCGGCCTCTTCGAACGCTTCAGAAGGGGCAATATGTCTTCGGATTTATTCCTAATGTCGGTATTAGGAGAGCCCCGCACCCACTAGTTTTTGCGATTTTTCCCGGCTGCCATACACCCCCAAATGGCCATCGTTTCGTTGGCTGGAGAGGGGGAAAAGGTGAAATTCGAATATTCGAATCTCAAAAAATTGTTGTTGTTGTTTTATTCAAGTCCTAAGCTAAAGCTCCAAATCCACTATGAGTACAGGACCGATGTTCACAGCCAGAACTACATCTAAGACATACCCAGCTTGATTCCACCGCATGAACCACCACAAAACCAGCAGTAAGTTAAAAATATGCGCCGACGCGAACTCCTTTTTCCAAAATTAACAAAAGAAAAAGATAAATTGCAAATAATTTAGAATGGGAAGCAATACTCCTCGCCTCGATTCCCATTTTGTCAGTTTTAGTTTCCTGACATGTTATATTCGATCTCCACTGAGAGTAGGAGATGGATGCACAGGAGAATATCCAAAACAATTGGTATCCTGCGCAAATTGTTTGAAGCTCTCGAAGCACTTAGGCCCGAGTAGCTTGTGTAAGAAGGCATTGTGTGACAATGACCCTCTGATTCGACGCGTGATATTTGCGTTGAGTCGACAATGTATGAAGTGGGTAGGGGTGGTTTCCTCCCCACAGATGCACTCTGTAATAGCGTGCGGATTGTTGAAGCGACGATGGTACGCCGCGAAATTGCCGTGGCCCGTACGGGCTGCAAAGAGATGTCGTAACTGTAGCCTGGAAAGCCCCAGTTCTGGTGGTTTACGACGGCGCATGAGCAGATCTAGCTCACGATACCGTGACGGGCAAGTTTCATTCCACCAGCTATCGAGCAAAGTATGTCGCTGTCGATGCAATTTTTGGTGTAAAAATGCTGTCGTGGTGGTTGCTGGCTCAGTTTCCACGCTGGGAAGCGTTCGTAGGGCGGATTTGGCCGCTGCATCTGCTTCCTCATTGCCATGTATCCCCGAGTATCCTGCTATCCACGTTATTCTTACCTGAGCTAGCCCAGATAATTCGCGAAACTTTCGTACTTCCTCGTGGCTGGTCGAGGACCTGCCCGTGCTCAGTGCATTTATTGCATGTCGACTATCCATCAACTCATTAATGCACTGCGTCGTTCCCTTCGCCAGGTACTCCTCTCCTCTTAGGTGACCCAACGCTGCTTTAAGAGCTTCCTGTGCCCCTATAATCTCTGCATCTAAAGCCTCTCCACCGTGCTTTATGCCACTTCCTTTTTGAAAAGTTTTCCCATCCAGCTTTAGGACAAACCCCCAAGCTGAGCGTCTCTTTCCCTCCGATGCTCCGTCCGAGTAAACACAGATTTCTGACTTTGGCACATTACTGATCCAAAGTTTACAGGCTTCTACTTGGTCTTTTCTCGAACCAACCTTCGAGCCCGGCCGCGATTGATAAAATGGTGGGGCAAGAGGTTCCGCGGCCTCTACCTCTGGTAGCTGTCTATAAGCACGCTGAGCCCGTGACATTTGAATTTCAGGACGCGCAGATTTTCGATTGTGCTTTTTATATTTTCGCGTACCGACATTTGGGCAAACTGCAGCACGGATCCTAAGCGGATGGCGGTCGTCAAGTGTTTGCATTCTGGCAGAGAGGCGAAGTCGGTTTCCTTCGAGAATGATTTTCCCGGTTGGTATTCCTCCTTCCCTATGTAGTACAGCGTTGGGTGTTGTTCTCATTACCGGTAGTGCTGACCTAAGACCCATTAAGATAGCCTTATCAATCATACTACATAGGCCAGCAGTGGGCGGTGTCACCATCCCTCGTACTATTGGGCGTCTAAGGCCAGGCCACCAGACGTCAGCTCCGTACGTTGCGATTGGGACAATACATGTGTCGATCGCTTTAACCAACGCCCCAGGAGCGGCTCCTCGGTAGGCTGTATTGAAGCGACGCATGTGCTGTGCAATTTTCAACGCTTTGCCACACCAAGTTGTGACGTGGCGTTTGAAGTTTAGTCGAGGATCGAGGTACACACCAAGCCAGCGGACATTTTGCGACGGCATTATTTCGAGCCCAGTCTAGTAGGTTATTGACCTCGTCCTGTGCTGCGGCTGCAGACTCTGCAATCGTCCGGCCAAATCCAAGGATACCAATA